CGAACTCACTTTTCCCTACTCCCCGAAACCCCCACCCCTGAACCCAGCCCACCCCCGAACCAGCCCATCCCCCGAACCTACCACGCCCCCCCGAACCTACACTCCCCCTTTTTCCCCCCCCTGAACCCACGCCCCCCCCGAACCCACCCCCCGAACCTACCCCTTTCCCCCCCCAATCCCTTTCCCCACCCCTAATCTCAATGCCCTATCCCCCCAACCACCACCCCCGAACCACGCCCCCACCCCCTAAACCTACCCCTACCCCCCTTTTTTTCCCCCCCCCCCCCTCCCCCCACCCCCTGAAAATCACTCCCCCACTCCCCCCATCCCCCCCTTTTTTTTTTAAATCCCCCAATCAACCCCCTTCCCCCCTTTTTCCCCCTTTTCCCCCCCCCCCAACTCCCCTGAATCTCCCCCAAACCCCACCCCCTGAACCCTCCCCCCCCCGAATTTTCCCCCCCCCCACCCCCTGAATCATACTCCCCTACCCACCCTTCCCCCCCCCTGAATTTATCCCCCCATCCTACTCCCCCCCCAACCCCCTCCCTGAAAACTCCCTTCCCCGAAAACCCCCCTCCCCCAACCAACCCCCCCCCCCCCGAATCATCCCACTCCCCGAACCCCCCCACCCCCGATTTCCCCTCCCCCAATTTTCCCCCCTTCCCCCAACCCCCCCCCCCGAACACTCCCCCTCCCCGGATCCACCCACCCCCAACCCCCCCCAATCCCCGAAACCACCCCAACCCCAACCACCGAAACCTACCCCTACGCCTACCCCCCGAATCCACCCCTACACCGAACCCCCCCAACCCCAACCCCCCCAATCTCTACTGCCCCCCTTTTTTTTCCCCCACCAAACCAGGAACCAGTTAGAACAATTTCCCTTTTACAACGCACCCGGGCCCAAATAAAACAAAGCGGCAAAAAACAAATTTTAAAAAACCCCCCCCAAGGAAAATGGGGTAGGATAAAGAAACCCCCTACCCCCCCCCCCCAAACCCCCCCCCCCCCCCCCCCCCCACACAGCGGATCCCTCAACCACCTTCCGGGGACCGAAACCCCCACCCTTTAAGGAAACCTGGGATAGGAAAAAGGAATCCTTCTACCCCCCCCCCCCCCCCCCCCACCCCACACGGAGTCCTCACCACTCCGGGGACATTTTAAACCCCCCCCCGGAAACCGGGAGGATAAAGTAATCCTTCTACCCCCTCCCCACCCCCCCCCCCACACACACAGCGGAGTCGCTCACCACCTTCCGGAGACATTTGAAACCCCACCTCTTTAAGGAATACCTGGGATAGGATAAAGTAATCCTTCTACCCCCCCCCCCCCACCCCACAGCGGAGTCACTCACCACCTTCCGGAGACATTTGAAACCCCACCTCTTTAAGGAATACCTGGGATAGGATAAAGTAATCCTTCTACCCCCCCCCCAAATTGTAAGTGGTTAAAAGTGGTTATCCCACTGGCTATAGGGTAAACGCACCAATTTGTGAGTCGCTCTGGCTAAGAGCGTCTGCTAAATGACGTTAATGTGCCCTTGAGCAAGGCACTTAACCCCAATTGCTCCTGTAAGTCGCTCTGGATAAGAGCGTCTGCTAAATGACTAAAATGTAAATGTAAATGTAAAAACAACAACAACACAGAGTTACATAGACTTACTCCCCTGTATCTCTACTCCCCTACAGACGAAGAGAACGACGAAAATACCCGCCTGAGATACTATACGTATTATAAGTGAAGATAAAATAATGGCTTGGTATGGGTAATGAGTTTGGTGAGAAATATTGGGATTAGAGTGACAACAAATGTATGCAGCCAGCCACAGCATGAAATGGTTGTTCAGTGCTGTGGCCATTGAGATAACTCCCACCTGGAGTTAGTCTCACTCCCTCAACAGGGAAGATTCTACTTTCATTTCTTTGTTGAAAGGATCTCAAATGGAGCTGAGGTGTAATAGTCCATCTGTTATAAAATGTTTGTAGGACAGTTACACTATCACAGTGAGGGGAGGTGTGTGTGTGTGTGTGTGTGTGTGTGTGTGTGTGTGTGTGTGTGAGCGCGTGCGTGCGGGGCACAGTTGGATAAATATGCATTATTCGAGGCATCTGATTGTGTTTTAATGAGCTCCATAGAGCGGTTTGTTTTGATGTTCTACAGAAAACTGGTGCATCTGTTGTTCTGTGTGTGTGTGTGTGTGTGTGTGTGTGTGTGTGTGTGAGTGCGTGCACCATCACGTGCACACCTTGTGCTGTGCCCTCTTCAGGTTCTTTATCCTTATGCTATGACAGTATTATTATTTTTTTCCTCATCTGTTTATAGTCAAGGTAGCAAACCTCCTTGGACCACATCCAAAGCCAGAACATACCCAAGCCAGAGAGAGGAGGAGCAAATATTCACAAAGAGAGGAGCTATGTGCTAAGATCTATCCTCCGCTGCTCTGCATCAGTGCCACACACACACACACACACACACACACAGCATCAATGCCGTTCGCCACATCTTGCCACAGTGAAAGCATCTTAACACACAACAACATGACACACCTTGCCATGGCGGACGAAAGAGCAGTAACATCATGAATCCTGTATGTAGAGCTAAATGAAAGACACATTATTCAACACCAGGTCCTGGAACAACCACCCTCATCATGTGATGATGTCACTTCAGCTTTGAGATGTGAGACAAGACGATGCAGAGAAGGGATAGACAGATGGCGTCCTTCTAACCAACTACAGTAGCCAGGCCTGTTCTCCCATCCCTTCATAAGGCTGGGGGACAGGGGACGGGGACAAGATCAAATGGATTCCACAGGGAAGCAGCAAAGACATGCCCCTTGCCAAGACTGATGCAGTGGACCATGGCAGAGGAACACAGAGAGAGCAGACTAGCCCTCCAAAAGCATGGCAGTGGTAAATAGGCTAAATAATGTCCATCACCCCCTAACTGCCTTGGGGTACAGGCTGTGACTGACTATGCATGCATCCCTCTCCTCTCCTCTGGCCATCTAGACAGTATAGAGAATTTGCTGGCTGCCAGGCTCTCAACATCTGAATGGCCTTTCCCCTGTGTGTGTGTGTGTGTGTGTGTGTGTGTGTGTGTGTGTGTGTGTGTGTGTGTGTGTGTGTGTGTGTGTGTGTGCGCGCTGCTGCCTGTGAAGCGGACTGTTATGTAAGGTGGCTGTTGTTGTCCTGGACAGAGTTATCACCAAGGGGACAACTTCCCACGTCCCCCTGCACCACACCTCCTTTTCTTCCCACGTCATACGCTTGTGAGAGGCTGAACGACTGAGACATGCTCTGTAGGAGGGATGGTATGGCAGACGAGGAGTGTAAGGAATGTCAATAAATCCAGGGTCCTACTTCACTTAAAGCTTCCTTTAAACTGAATTTGAATACCTACAAGCAGGAGCGGTTATGCCAACAATAGAAGCCTTCATAATGGTTTCACTGCATGGAAGGGAAACATTGAGACCGTGTGTGTAAAATATAAAAAACATTAATTTAACAAACCTACCATGCTGTGAATGTATGAGAAGACTACACAGGGAGGCTGGGTATGCATCTACAGTATCACCGCTGTTGTTGTTTTTCCCCTTTCCTCTCCTCCCTCTCCTCTCATAATCTCCTGGGCTCTGCAGTGGTTTGGCTCCAGCAGTCCCAGCCCCCAGGGGGTCTCACCACAGACCAACAGCTTCACCTGCACACCTGGTGCACCAGGCGGGAGGCACACACAGCCTTCCGTTCCTTGCAGAAGCCCAGGAGCAGCAGTACAGAGCAAAGTACTGCAGCTCAGGCAACACTGCCATCTGCTGGTAGTTATATGTAAATGGAGTTGGGCTGATGACACAGTCACTAAGGCTGTCCATCTGGCTAGAACCAGATTGCCATTAGACTGAGAAACCTTTTCCATAATGAGGGCATGATGCTGATCATCATTAGAGGATAGAGTCTGCTGAAATCATAATACTGTATTAGCTAACATGTTACTATCATCAAGCTACTGTCACCATGCTCCTAGCTAGCCATCCTCTTCACAGGCTGTCATTCATGCATATTTAATCTGGGACCATCCAAAAGGTCAGGGGTCAAGCAAGGACTGCTGTTCTACTACAGGGAGATTAAATGCAAAGGATTATTGGATACTCACACTACCTCTTATGAACTCACTCACTTGGATCAATGTGCTTGTAGTATAGACTTTAAAAATGTGTTCCATATTTGATGTATAATGCTGAATGAAGCGATAAACAGCAGTTAACAAATTGCATATTCAGCCTTTGGATACATCCCAGCTTGGTGCTGGTTGGCATTTGAGATTCAGAGAGGGACGTGCAAAATTAGCTTACCGTGATTGTCAGCCGCAGGGTAAGGTCAGAGATAGAATAATACAATAATAATACAAATATGCAAATAGGTTTTATTATTTAATGGCTTAGCCTACATGGATTGTTCATACACTTGGTTAGGAATTTAATTTACTTTACAAACATTTATGAAACATTGTCTGGTAAAGTAGCTCTGATGTTCCACATACTACATGGGCTCAAATACTAAGCCTACTCCAAGTCTCCATCCCCAAATACATTCTTAACTTAATTCTTAACTTAACCAACTTTATTTTACATATGCCGACTCATCTTTAACAGGGATGTCCTCAGAAACCCTAGGATGATCACGAGGGCTCTCATAAGAAACCAAATGGGCACCTGTAGTCTGATGACCCCCCCATAGAGACCTTTAATAATCACCATCTGGATGGATGTGACATAGTAATCTGTAATAGTAATCATAGTAATCATCTATCCATCCATCCATCTGTGACATAGTAATATGCAGACACCAGTGATGCACAAATGAAATGACATGAGCCTCTGAAGGTTCTATCCACAAGCAAAGTTTGTTATAGGTACCAAGGTTAGGTCATTAATATTTTAATATGAATAAGATGTGGTCCTAACCTGGATGAATGAACCCAGTACACAGACAGCCATGTTGTCAGGAGCACTCTAGTGCAGTGGATACCTGGTAGTTCTGGTTCTTCATCCTCCTCTTCATCTCTCGGATCATCTGACAGATGGCCAGGGGGTAACAGCCATACAGCGTAGTCCAGTGCTCACAGACGCTGCCCTGCGCGCACACACACACACACAGACAGACAGAACAAGGGGAAGTTCACATCTGGTCTCAGGCAGGGGTCTTTTTTGGGCTGCAGAACAAAATGTGGTGTCACTGTCATTTACTGAGTCTTTCCATAACTAATCAGAAACAAATCGCCCACCGCATGCCATGCAGAATAAAATATGGTGTACAGTCACAGTTGGGTAGACAGGAGGAAAGTAAATGTGAGCAGCAGTGACACACATATCATTCGTTGTACAATAATTTGTTGTACATGATGTGCAACCAACATCTCTTGAAATAAACAGTGATCCTGAATTGCTCTGTGAGAGAACACTGCTTTGGTCCCCATGACACCAGCAGGTCGTTAATGGATTCTAATAACACCCATTAACCCTCGTCATTATTGCGTAACAATCCTCACCCGTATCTTGTATCTCTCCCTGATGCCCACCCGCATGGTGAATGTGGAGCCAGGGAGCAGACACAGACACAGACACTCCCCGTACTGGTGGGCCAGACTCAGGTCCAAGCAACAGGGCACAAAGGCCCCTAAGAGACCTGGGGAAAATGAGAGCGATACAGGGCTTAGGAAAACTCTACTAGGTTTAGTGCAATGCAATCTCCACAAGATAGTAGCAGTCGGTTACGGAAAACTTTTCTAATTTGAATACATGTTTAGCAGCCCTACAGAGTATTGTAGATTGATATGGTATCATGCAAGAGAATTGTAATCTTTATGAAGTATCCTCTCTTTAACATTGGGCAACATTGAATTTCCTAAATTAACATAGGTAGAGTGTAAGCATCACTATGTAAGATAGCAGTATAGCCATCCACCATCTGACTATTTCAGTATCCCAAACCGGTAACTGTGACTTTTACACTTGAATGTGTACAATGCAGTGAAATAAGCCCAAAGCTGTGTCTGCCTCACATGTGGTCCTGTCTCCACACACGTTGAACAGGCTACTGCTCCAGTCCCCTCCCGTCTGAGTGATGGTGGTCACTGTCGTCGTGGTTACCCCCAGCCCAGGCTGCGTGAGCACAGGGAGTTTACCTGCACTCTGTGGGTTCCAGCTTTCTGTTCCTACGTCCCAGCCCCCGGCTTCCTCATCCTCCTCATCACCTGGGGCCTGCTGCTGTGCCACTTTGGTGACTGGTGCACAACTGAGATAAAGAAGAAAGACGGGGACTATAACATGTAGAAATTAATGTAGGCTTAGCAGTATTGCAATGTGGCTCACATAGGGCAAAATAAATAAACATAACACCCGTAAAAGGGCTTAAGAACATGTTGGAATGACGCATTACACCCAACAATGGTGATCTCTACTGATAAGGGCCTAACACTTACTGGTCTGTGGTGACTATGGCTGTGGTATCCTCCATGCTGACAACTGCTCCCTGCCAGGGAAGGAAGGGGAGACTGGGTGAGCTTCCCACTGAGATGGGGTGTGCTACTCCAGAGAGGGCTGGAGCTCAGCGGCTGCTCTGGGAAGATAACACATTTTGGGCCTCCTCTTCTAGGGGCTCATAACGCCCTCTTATTACAGCATGCGGGCTGCCACAGCAAACAAGGACAGAGCTGGCCTGTTCAAGTCCGTCTGGAATGGAGCCTCTAATACAAAGCGCAAATGCCAGACCACCACAGTGTAGGGGCCAAGGCCAAGGGCAGGCCAGCCAGCCAACGGATCAGTAAGTTCATACCCCCAACAGAGAGAGCACTCACCCAGAGAGAGAATACTCACACATGCATAAACAGGTGACAACAAGAAAATCACTGTAAAAGAAAAGGCAACACTTACCCCAATCACAGACAACAGCAACGTGCTACCGCCCAGTCCTGGAGATGCACACACGTGAGCTGTTATGGTTTCTGTCTGGCGCACATTGACCTGATCACTTCTGCGTTTGTGGTGCACAGTGTCTGTATGAGAATCGGCCAGGGGAGGCTTGTGGTAAAATAAGAAACGTCTCACCTGGTTTCTCTTAACAGCCGAGAACATTTCCTGCTTAGTGAGAGCAAAAAGCAGAACGTCTATTGTGTTTATAGAAACAGAGGCAGACTGTGTTTCAACTGCATGACTGATTTCCAAGGGGGATTTAATTAGCGGTGCTCATACTGCCAGTAGATTGGCTACAGTCCATTATAGAGATGTTTTTCATGTGATTCACGCCAAACTGGTAACCTAGAAGAACACTGCAGAGGGAGTTTAATGTGGCCGTATGTCGCAACATGAATGAAAAGACAGAGATGCAGCACCCAAATACATGAAATATGTGTTTATTTAACTTGTGGTTCACCTTGGAAATGTACTCTATTTCAGAGACAAACTCTGAAAATTATGCCAGAATTTTTTTGTTGACACATTTGTGGGAATAATTAATTGTATGTGGTAGTTACTGGACCTATAAGTACTGCTGAAGAGACGTTCAGAAGACACCTTTGCATGGAACCACTCAACATATGAATACAAAATATATGTTTATAGTGGAAAGCAGTGGTGTAAAGTACTTAAGTAAAAATACTTTTAAGTACTACTTAAGTTGTTTTTTTGGAGTATCTGTACTTTACTATTTATATTTTTTCCTAATGAAAATAATGTACTTTTTACTCCATACATTTTCCCTGACACATAAAAGTACTCGTTATATTTAGAATGCTCAAGCAGGACAGAATTATGGCACCTATCAATATAACACTTTGTCATCCCTACTGCCTCTGATCTGGCGGACTCACAAAACACAAATACTGTGTTTGTAAATGATGTCTGAGTGTTGGAGTGTGCCCCTTTATGTCCGTAATTAAAAATAATACGAAAATCGTGCCGTCTGGTTAGCTTAGTATAAGGAATGTGATGTATAGCATTTACTTTTACTTTGTACTTTTACTCAAGTATGACAATTTAGTACTTTTTCTATCACTGTACTTAAGTACATTTAAAACCAGATACTTTTAGACTTTTACTCAAGTAGTATTTTACTGGGTAACTTTCACTTTTACTTGAGTCATTTTCTGTTAAGGTATCTTTACTTTTACTCAAGTATGACAATTGACTACTTTTTCCACCACTGGTGGAAAGAGACTGTAGGCAGAGGTCTGTACAGGTACGCTTTAGAGAAGCTTTATTCCGTCCGTACTTTAGCATATAATGGCAGACACTGAGCCTCTGAAACAACATCATTACATTTAATTTCACATAAGATGAGAGGACGAAAGTACCCGTTCTAAATCATTACCACTTCAATAGAAAAGTTAAAGGCAAGACTCCTGCCTGGCTATACTCCAGAGCTGTGCATGTTTTCTACATAGACCTCAGACTCAGTAACATCTACAGCAGGAAAATACTGTCTTGTCATTCTGCTACAAGCCCCTGCTGTTCAGTCCCACCCTTCTACACAGAGAGCAGGACCCTGTTCAAATACTATTAACATGCATCCTTCCTACATTCCTAGAAGGCGATATCTATGAGACTAGATGAGCCCTTGTCAGACCAGTGATATCCTCGAGGATGGAAGGAAGGAAGTATTAAAACAGGCCCCAGACCTGTGCTATTGTAACAGGTAAACCCGGGTGTCTCCTATATCCATGCTGAGGCCGTTGTCTGTCATGAGGACCTTCCTGTCGGCCAGGCTGATGCTGAAGGAGGACTTGTCACAGATGAGTAGCTTACCGTGCTCCTCCATCCCCAGGATGGGCACCCGGCAAGGCCCCAGGACCGGGTCCTCAAAGCGCATCAGCTTCACTTTGGACAGGTCTGCAGGGGGACAGAGGGGACATGAAGACTTGTGGGAGGTCAGGCGCTATGGTTACATTGTAGGGTTAAACAGCAATAACCTTGTGGATGCCTCACTTCAGTCAAGTCTGCAGGACATAACAGGGGACGTGTGTTGAACCGCAGACTAAAACAACGTAAATCTGCTAATTGTATGATGAAAAGCTACTGTATGGAAACTAAGTGCTGAGTACTCATCTAAACGACTACTAGACTTAAACAATTTGCACATCTTAAGGACAACGTGTACACCCTCAGTAAAACTAACTTTGACATTTAACTAAGAAAATGGCAATAGGCCAGGGCAAGCAATACAAAAAAACATGATAAAATATGGTTCAATTACACGGTATCAATAGGAAAGTCACAAGGTCTTTAGGGGCTTAATAATGAATTAGTCTATTGGCTTTGGATAGTCTGCGGATGATGCAGTCTCTGCTGTCGCCCTGTCTGATGTCGATGGTGAAGAGATGGATGGGGGTTGACCAGGGACACTGCCACACCAGGCTAGGAGACAGCTCACTGGTCTGAACTATACTCATAATTCATCAAGCGTTGAAATCATTTCACAGACAGACAGACAGACAGACATGTGCACATTCAACATGGACTGATTACACACGTTTAGTGGTATCAGTGTTTTCAAAATAAAATCATGGATAATAAAGAGGTCTCTCTCGAAAACACTTTGTGGCTGCAACTATAATGATGCTAATAGCATCTAAATTGTCCTGTCTGTTTCTCTGTATTGAGGGCTGAGCAAGCAACAGTAGTAACTAGTGAAACAACCGACAGACAGCTCTTAGTGGCAGGATGGCAGTTCAAACAAAAGGCTGTGTCTGTCCGTCTACCTCGGATCTGAAGACACTGAACGGTTTCCCCGGGCAACAGTCCTGCATTATTTTGTCATCTGCCTCTGATGCGAACACCACATCTATCTGATCAAGCTGGGAAAAGAAGAAGAAGAAGAAGAAGAAGAAGAAGAAGAAGAAGAATATAATAATAATAATAATAATATGCCATTTAGCAGACGCTTTTATCCAAAGCGACTTACAGTCATGCGTGCATACATTTTTTTGTGTATGGGTGGTCCCGGGGCTCGAACCCACTACCTTGGCGTTACAAGCGCCGTGCTCTACCAGCTGAGCTACAGAGGACCACAGAAGAAGAAGAAGAAGAAGAAGAAGAAGAAGAAGAAGAAGAAGAAGAAGAAGAAGAAGAAGAAGAAGAAGAAGAAGAAGAAGAAGAAGAAGAAGAAGAAGAAGAAGAAGAAGAAGAAGAAGAAGAAGAAGAAGAAGAAGAAGAAGAAGAAGAAGAAGAAGAAGAAGAAGAAGAAGAAAGAGATAGGGAGAAAGATTGAGGGAGAAACCATTAGCACAGTAGTTTAATATTTGATAGGGCCAGTGTGACATGCAGTGTGTTTTGAGCGTTGTGAATTCATACTGTGGGGAACAGACGACTGGCATTAGCCTGAAATCCTGTTGCGATTAGCGCTGCAGAAAAGTTACCCACATTACACATTCAAGGCAACTGTTGTTGTTTCAGTATAATTAAGACTGGCTAGAGATGGTATTAGGAACTAGATAGTTAGTTAGACAGGCCTGGTGTGCCAGCAAATGCCCCAAATAAACATCACAGGCTGGCTAAATCACTCTGGTCGCTATGGGAGTTATGTAAGGGATAATCAACACGGGGCTATGCGTTTTATGGTAAATAATGAACGACGTGGAAAGTGTGTTCCACGATGCATTAGCGGAGTGGCGCAAACCTTCCACGGAGTTGCATTCTTTTCCAGAGAACGCATAGAGCCCTGGTATAATATTCCAAAACTAATAAAGTATGCATCTGTATTGGGAAATTAGCTTGGATAATGAATGAGGTGGAACATAGGTGAGATTAATACAACACATAGGGCTGTATTGATGGACAATAGTGCTCTTAAGCAGATATAAAATAGTTGCATTCAACTCTGGAGGTGGAGGACAAATTGAAAGTCAAACCGAAAAGAGTCAATTGGGAGCGGTGTAAAACATTTCTTTTAACTTTATGGATGTATACACTTGTTTCAGAGATTACCGGGGGGGGCGGAGTTAGATAATTAATATCAGGTTGTAGAGCCTATCCAACTCATTCCATGAAACATTCACAGCTGGGAGAAAGTGAGGGTGTGTTAGGTGTACCTCCAGAGATTTGGTCAGATAAACTATGTTCTCCAGCAGCACGGCTCGCTCGTCAAACTCCAGCTCCAGAACCCTAGCACCATTCTTCTCCAGGATCTCCTGAGGAACACAACACACACTGTAAAAAAAGGCTGTCCTGCTCCTCTCCTCTCTACCTAACTTTCCCTCACAGTCCCTTCAGTTTCCCTTAAGTCCCGTTAGTTTGGCTGCTCAGCCTACCTAAGTTATCCCTCACCTATCATAGCCCTGCCATTCCCAACCAATCAGAGCGCTTGGAAATGCGCATCTGGACACTGCACCCGCCCACTCAGATCAGAGTGTTATCATCGTCCGAAGCGAGAAGATGCACATTTCTGAGGACTTTTTATTGTCGACAGTAACACAAATGTCTGAATCTTGTGCGTGCATTGAAATGTAAGTTGCAGGGGGGGTTTATTGGGGTTTTTACATTCTGTGTAATAATAGGTAATTACCACTAATTACTTCCTGTTACTTTGATAAGTTTCAGCCATATGTCCTGCTGTATGGCTGTTACTAGTCTTTAATGTTAGAGTTGCCAATGCTGCTTTGCCTATTGTTTATCGTATGTAGTATTGTTCCGTACTGCCAGAAGTGTTATTATTGCATTGGTTGCACAAGTACATTTGCAGAAGTGGTTTAATTGTTGTATTGGTAAACATAGTGTTTCGCATGCACACGCTACCACAGCGTTTTCCATCGTGGCCTTTATTAAAGGTGTTTTCTCATGCTGCCATGGGCGAGCTTCTAGAGGCATCACAGACAGTTCTTGGAACTTGCTCATGCGAGTCGCCCCTGTGGTGCCAGGGCAGATCTGATAAGAGCTCAGCCTGGCAGAGAGAGGGCGCCATAAATATTGACCCTTTGTCAATCCAAGTAATTTGTTTCTCTCTCTCTCCAAGAGGTGAATGTTTAAGTGAATGTTTATATTTATGCTGTGTTTATAGCCCTTTATAGACGTGTTGTAAATGTAATGCCATTTATTCATGTACATATACAGTACCAGTCAAACAATAGTGTGCAAAGCTGTCATCAAGGCAAAGGTTGGCTACTTTGAAGAATCTCAAATATAAAATATATTTTGATTTGTTTAACACTTTTTTGGTTACTACATGATTCCATCCATATGTGTTATTTCATACTGTTGATGTCTTCACTATTTTTCTACAATGTAAAAATAAAGAAAAACCCTGGAATGAGTAGGTGTGTCCAAACTTTTGACTGGTACTGTATGTATATTGTATAGTTATAATCATTAACTAATACTGTTTACATGTGTGCATATCTTTGCCTTATAGAACCACAACAATAAGATTCCAAGTCATTCGGATTACCAAAATAATATAAAATAATATAAACATCTTCAAATGGAAACAGCTTTGTCTGTGTCTGTGTCTGTGTGGTGGTGACTATCAGGAGTACAGTGATGGGCCTCAACATCATGTTCTGACCGGACAGCACTCTAGTGGGCAGAACCAAACCAATCAGTTAGAAGTATATAGCGGGTGAGGGCATTCACAGCCGACCCCTCAGACGGGTGAGGGCATACCCGACAACCGTTTTTACATGGTCCTTCCAGCCGGATTTAGTGACCAACAGTTTTACATGGTCCGTCATTTCTCCGGATTTAGAGACCAATAGTTTTACATGGTCCGTAATTTCTCTGGATTTAGAGACCAATAGTTTTCACACACGTTGGCCTAAGAGCCTTCATGTTCACAGCCATTTTGATTTGACCTATATAGTAGGGTTTTACAGTCCCAACACAGGCAATCATCTGGCTTGGAATGTATTGTTTGTTTGCTATTTGATCACATTGATGCAGTCATACCTCTTTTAATACCCATGCTAAGCTCTGAACCACTGAGAAAGGCTATCAAATATTGATCACTGTCGTGCTGCCCCGGTAGTGAATATGGACTGTAGAAATACAAGTGATCTAATGAAGGAAACGCTGTCCTCAATGTGCTTATCAACTGTACAGAGCGATATATGTTTTATAAGAGAATGCAGAGAGCCTAGCAGAAGTCAGCCAAGGGCCTTGTTATAGTGAGACCCTGGGCCCCACCAGAGTACAGACCAGGGCCCTGGGGGGCGGAGAGGGGCCAACCCTCCTGTCCTCAGCCTCACCTTGATCACAGCCAGGAACGGCATCACTCTCTTCATCTGTTTCTAGATCTTCGGCAGGGTGCCCAGCTCCAAGGCAATGACCTTGGTATCAGGCAGAGTGCCCTTGTTGCTCTGAGAACACACATCCAGGGAAGAACACACACGCACACACGCGCACAGGGGAGAGTGTCAGTCTATCATCAGGGGGATTCCAGGTCATCAGCAGCATAACAACTTTCTCTGCCTCTGGGCGGATCACAGTAGGGTCTCTATATTCTGTAGCCACTCCTCCCCAAATCAACAGGAGGGACAAGCTGAAACGCAGATACATTCCAGAACAATCTATTTCTAAAAAGACCAAGGCTGTGCCTTAAATGGCAGCCTATTCCCTCAGCTGGATTTACACAGGAAGCCCAATTCTGATATTTTTTTCAATAATTGGTCTTTTGACCAATCAGATCAGCTCTTTAGCCAATAATTGGGCAAATAAATTAAGCGCAGCAATAAATGCAGCCATTGTGCACTAGTTTTGACCAGAGCCCTATAGGACCCTATTCCGCTTATAGTGCTATTTGGGACATACAGTTGAGTGAAGTTCATAGGCTCACTCAGTCTTCCCGGTCTGATTCCCAACCAGGCAGATTCCTGGGGGTTAGTACTCGTCTTGTAGTGTTTTCCCAGCAGAGAGAGGGTATTGTGCTGCCAGGAGGGGTACGTCTTGGCCACTTGGATGGTGCAGTGGGAGGGCTTGGCTGGGGGCTTCACGTCGCCCTTCTGTGGACGGACGGAGGGAGGGAGGGAGACGGAGTAACAGACAGAGAGAGAGACAGACAATAGAGAGCTCAGTCAGCCTGCAGCCTGCTAGCATAGCAGTAGTGTTAGCCTGGCTGTGATGCTCATCAGAGCAGGAAGTCCGGACCCAGCCAGACATCCATTACCACCTGGGCTAACATGACATGACTGAGAAATGTCACTCTCTAGTTAATGCTGCCAAGCCTACTCTGTTATATAAAGATCCAAAACCTATCTGGAGGATGAGTATTCATTGTCCCCCTCTAAAAGCTACTGTGTGAACTAGTCTCAGTGCCAAGTGGAGCTGGGCATCCGTGAACTCATTTAACATGACAGCTGTCGACTCTCTTCTAGTTACCACGCGGGACACTGCCACCACGTTAGTTTTTCTCTTTTTCAGATGAATAGTAGAGGGTGCCATACTTTAAAGATGCTGTCTAGTCCCCATGGCAGAAAGCTACAGCAAGGCTAATGGTCTGTAAATAGGTATCTTTGAAGTAGAGTTGTTCTCACTGACTGCTACTAATATCTCTCTACTACATACACCAGAAAATATAGACAGTGAATCAAGAGCGATCAGTCGAAGCTGGCAGAATACAGCTTCACGTTGTCAATACACTCCGTGCCATAGAACAATGTATGACTTCTAGAATCTCTGCGCTCCTTGCTGCCTCCAGGAAACTCAGGCTCCAAATGTAAACAAATGCAAAATACTGATCTTGCACATCAAAATCAAGTCCAATGAAATGTAAACAAGGTTGCAAATCCATACATGCCAGAAGATATAAAGACGTATCGCTCCTCCATACATCCATGTCATTAAGACAGGGCTGTCAAAATGATGGAGATGTACACAAGATGTAGGCTACAAGATCAGAGTAGCATTTTAACCTCTGTCTAGGACTGCAGCCATCTGAAAGTGAGACATCATTGGTCCCTGTGAGAACATTAGAATACAATGAGACCTAAATGTCACCATTGGGTAATTGCTGCACGACTTAGTGACATATGCCTGTATCCAAGGCTGCTTGGTATTTTCAGGGTTTAATGAAGAGACTTGTTTTCTGGCTCACTGTGCTGTGTGAAAGGGAGAGGATTCCGCAGGACCATTATGTCCCATCTAACAACTAAGCTATTCATCAACACTAACCACAAAGGTACATTTCAAACTTAGTTCAGCTCCATGAACCCTTTACACTTGTGGGGAATTGGCCTACATGGATAGGGCTACATTTAAATGTTTCTTACAGAATAAATATTAAAAGAATATGCAAAACCATGGTAGCAATTGAAAGGGAACAGTTTGGAGATTATGGGGAAATTATTAGCCCAAAGGTGAGGACACAGAAGTTCACCTGACACAAGACTGAATCCAAACATGACTGTTGATTTGATGTGCATTTTACATTTACTGTACTTTTTGCAACAAAATCAGAAAATACTCTGGATACATTCAGTAACATGCAACTGTGCAAGGTTTGGAGAGGTGTGTGGCCAATTGGAGACACCAGTTTGTCCTCTCACTCAAACCCTTGGCATTTTTTGTCTTATGTTGCACCTGGAATATTCTTATCATGTTACTGAATGTATCCAGAGTATTTTGTCATCTGCCTCTGATGCGAACACCACATCTAGAAGAAGAAGAAAGAAGAAGAAGAAGAAAGAAGAAGAAGAAGAAAAGAAGAAGAGAAGAAGAAGAAGAAGAAGACGAAGAAGAAGAAGAAGAAGAAGAAGAAGAAGCAAAGAGAAGAAAATAAGACGAAGAAGAAGAAAGAAGAAGAAGAAGAAAGAAGAAGAGAAGAGACGAAGAAGAGAAGAGAAGAAGAAGAATAAAATAAGAAGAAGAAGAGCAGAAGAAGAAGAACGAGAAACATTGAATGGGAGAAACCATTAGCACAGTAGTTTAATATTTGATAGGGCCAGTGTGACATGCAATGTGTTTGGAGCGTTGTGAATTCATAGTGTGGGGAACAGACGGCTGGCATTAGCCTGAAATCCTGATGCGTTTGGCTGTTCAGAACAACCCAGGGTGATGGGCTCATTCTGTTCTGAACAACCCAGGGTGATGGCCTCATTCTGTTCAGAGCAACCCCAGGGTGATGGCCTCATTCTGTTCAGAACAAACCCAGGATGATGGGCTCATTCTGTTCAGAACAACCCAGGGTGATGGGCTCATTCTGTTCAAAACAACCCAGGGTGATGGGCTCATTCTGTTCAGAACAACCCAGGGCGATGGGCTCATTCTGTTCAGAGCAACCCAGGGTGATGGCCTCATTCTGTTCAGAACAACCCAGGATGATGGGCTCATTCTGTTCAGAACAACCCAGGGTGATGGGCTCATTCTGTTCAAAACAACCCAGGGTGATGGGCTCATTCTGTTCAGAACAACCCAGGGCGATGGGCTCATTCTGTTCAGAACAACCCAGGGTGATGGGCTCATTCTGTTCAAAACAACCCAGGGTGATGGGCTCATTCTGTTCAGAACAACCCAGGGCGATGGGCTCATTCTGTTCAGGACAACCCAGGGTATGACGCCATGTCATCTTGTAAATGTACATCAAACATAGTGATCATAAACATTGACACTGTATATGACATGAGTTTTATGATATGGAAAAGTGAAGTGCACATTTGGACTCTCGGGTGTTTGGCTTGCTTGTATGACATTATTATCCTCGATGTCTCATCTTTCAAAATACATCGAGACCTCTTAATTTACAGCATTTCCCTCACTCAGACAACAAAAGATGTGCGTTAGTTAACGGGAGGGTTGGGGGCAACTTTTGGGGCGGCAGGTAGCTTAGTGGTTAAGAGCGTTGTGCCAGTAACCGAAAGGTCGTTGGTTCTAATCCTCGAGCCGACTAGGTGAAAAATCTGTCGATGTGCCCTTGAGCAAGGCACTTAACCCTAATTGCTCATGTAAGTCGCTCTGGATAAGAGCGTCTGCTAAATGACAAAAAAAAAAAAAAAAAAAAAAAAAACGTCTTGTTGCGCAAGGTGCTCAAGTTCAGAACGGCTGTCAGTCAAAACCCATACAGCGCTGCGAAGCGCAGAGCCAGAGCTCTGACGTCATGTGTAGCATGTTACTGTACAGCCACTGCGTTCCAATTTAGCCGTTTATCAGTGCCAAAACATGCAATTTTCAACCCGGGTACGAGTGTAAAGGGCTACAGCATTTACATATTAAGAGTAAAGGGATAGTTCGAAAGTTTAGCTCACTAGCTATTATTTTATTATTTTTGCCTCACTCACACTGAATCAGAGTCAATCAAGATGAAACCAGCAGCCAAGTGATTGAAGACCGATATATACATTTTTTCAGCGCAATGTGAGTCTGTATAGCCAGTCTGTATATTCCCTAGCTAATAAGAAATAATAAATAATAATGTCCCCCCCCACTTCTAAAACCATTGTTGCGCCCCTGGAAGTTGCTAACTAGGGTTAGCGCATTTGCTAATAGCCTTAGTGCAATGACAAAAAATATATGGGAACAGCGCAATGACTAGAAGTCTATGGGAGTAGCTAGCATGCTAGCTGTTCCTGTACATTTCCAGTATTTGCGCTAATGATGATGAGAGGTGTTGGGTTTGCGCCAGACATAGCGTTTTCCTTGATGGCCAAAAAGCTCAATTTTAGTCTCATCTGACCAGAGTACCTTCTTCCATATGTTTGGGGAGTCTCCCACATGCCTTTTGGCCAACACCAAACGTGTTTGCTTATTTGTTTCTTTAAGCAATGGCTTTTTTCTGGCCACTCTTCCGTAAAGCCCAGCTCTGTGGAGTGTATGGCTTAAAGTGGTCCTATGGACAGATACTCCAATCTCAGCAGTCGAGCTTTGCAGCTCCTTCAGGGTTATCTTTGGTCTCTTTGTTGCCTCTGATTAATGCCCTCCTTACCTGGTCTGTGAGTTTTTGTGTGCGGCCCTCTCTTGGCAGGTTTATTGTGGTGCCATATTCCTTCAATTTTTTAATAATGGATTTAGTGGTGCTCCGTGGGATGTTCAAAGTTTCAGATCTTTTTTTATAACCCAACCCTGATCTGTACATCTCCACATCTTTGTCCCTGACCTGTTTGGAGAGTTCCTTGGTGGTGCCCCTTGCTTAGTGTTGTTGCAGACTCTGGGGCCTTTCAGAACAGGTGTATATATACTGAGATCATGTGACAGATCATGTGACACTTAGATTGCAAACAGGTGGACTTTATTTAACTAATTATGTGACTTATGAAGGTATTTGGTTGAACCAGATCTTATTTAGGGGCTTCATAGCAAAGGGGGTGAATAAATATGCACGCACCACTTTTCCGTTATTAATTTTTTAGAATTTTTGGAAACAAGTTATTTTTTTCATTTCACTTCACCAATTTGGACTATTTTGTGTATGTCCATTACATGAAATCCAAATAAAAATCAATTTAAATTACAGGTTGTAATGCAACAAAATAGGAAAAACGCCACTGGGGATGAATACTTTTGCAAGGCACTGTAGTTCAGCTCCATTAACACTTTACACTCGTGGGGAATTGGCCTACATGGATAGGGCTAAATTGAAATGTTTCTTACAGAAGAAATATGAAAAGCATATGCATAACCATGGAAGCAATTGAAATAATTCAATAATTTCACCCACACCGCTTGTGTGCGTGAACGAGCGTCTGCGTAGCCAAACGCAAAAATAGAACATGGTTCTATTTGAGGCTCCATGCGCTGCAAGTCCCCTCCTTATTGGATATCAGGAAGATACAAACCCACGTGGACGCTTGAAAGGCAAATGAGAGATTAATTCAAGATTAACTAACTAAAAACTAACTAGGTTTCCCTTTTTATCTGTGGATGAATCATCGGAGTAGATAAACACACAATGTTGTATGACTCCCGGTCAAAATTCTACAAAGAACCAGCTAAAAAAGTACAGCATATGCATGTCAGGTAAAATAACAACCCAATGTTCATCTCCCAGGACAAACTAGGAAGCAACAGCGAGCTAGCTAAATGTCCATGAACGTTTCATGTGTGTTTCGACATGCCCCCCAAATTAATATAGATGGTTTTGATATTTTAACCTGCGTCTGGTGTGGCTGGACAAAATCAATATGTGTGCGATGCCGGCGCAGTCAGCATGTTAGAACTATGCTGGAGATCAATTTGTTGGAGCTTGGATGATTATGCCACACTGCGTTACATTCATTTGTCTCATTGGACGTTGCAAACTACCTGGCGAACACGCGGTCATGGAAGGTGTAAGCTGGCCCTGTCCTCCGGTTGTTCTGATTGGCTATCATCTCCTTGACCCACTCCACCCAGGTGTAGAGGCGCAGGATGCCATCGTCGGCCATGGCCTCCACAAAGTGAGGTCTTCCACTGTGTCCCCTGCGTCCACCAGGGCCATGCGCATCCCTGGGCAAGGACACACACAACATGGTAAGGCTGCGTTTAACACTCAGGGCACACACAACATATTACAGTGACACTGGTAGAAACAAAGCACTTTGACACTAAAAGCAGAATTTTAGCAATTAGTAACATGAAGCATAATAACAGCCTTATAAAATCCCCCCTCCTGTCTTCTACAAAAGTATGTGAAGAGAACATTTAGGCAGTCCCACTTCTTCATAAATAACCAGAAGGAAGCAATCAGCCTGAGGCATGGCATCAAATCAACATGACTCATTTACTATCAGCACTTTGGGCCAGATGATGGTGTTCATTTCTACTCTCCAAGTAGGAAGAAGTGGTCAAAAGGAATGCAGGAGACGTTATCCCACTGCTCTGCTCCCCCTTCCTCTTCTGTTTCCCAAATGAAGCAAGCCACCCTTCCATCAGAGGAGAAGTAGCAGGAAACATTCAGCCATCAAGAAGTACAGAATGACTCATTGATTTTGACTTCCGGAGAAAATAATGACTGTTCCTCTCATAAAGCTTCCTAGTAATTAGGAGGCATTGAGTTAAGAGGCTGGAAGGCTTATAGGGCCCTACCCAACATCAGCAGAAAACTTAGAGATGGTGTCACTCAGAGTGAGGACGTTGCCTGTGGATTTAGACATCTGATGAATACAAACAAAGACTGTCAGGAGGAACACACAAACTTAAGACACACACACACAGTCTTTGTGCATGACACTTGACGTCTTCAGACAACATCAAAACACACAGCTCCCATGCTGCCAGAGCAGGCGACAGAGAGAGTTCAGTGCATCAGTGACCTGTTTGTAGTTAACAAAACCTCTTTCAGAGAAAGGAAAACGTACATTTTCAGAGTTCAGTAACAGGTGACCATTGGTTCGGACGGCCTGCGGCCATTTTCCGCTGTGTACACAAAGATAATCTCCTTCAAAACATGAGAATCTCTAGATGGGTTGTCTTACCATCCGTACCATCCCCATAACTGGTTACACCCTGCAGTAAATTGCCATTAGGCTTATCCTTCCTATCCTTTCAAATAATAGAGGTATAGAACTGCATAATGATTCTACACTTGTAAAGACACCAGTTGTATCTAATGTATGTGGACATTAGTCTTATAGTATGACAAGAATAGGACGTACAAGTTCACCCAAAACTGCATCAATCAGAAAAGACAAACACTACCATTCCCGGTCTCATTAAAATACAGCACCCGCACCAATTTCATCATAAAATGAATATTCAATTAACTCAATCAATACAGCATTCCAGCATTCAATACAGCAAAACAACATTCCCATAAAGCCAAATAGCGTGTACCCCTGTAGCAGCCCTAGCACCGTAGAAAGGCAGGCGGGCAGACAGGCAGCTAGCCAGGCACGTGGTTCATCTCACCTGCCATTGGGCCACATGGCCACGTGGTTGGGCGCCAGGTCCTTCCCAGACACACGGGCATCCACGGGGTACCAGTACTCAAACTCCCTCCTCAGCCTCTGCAGGTGTTCCTTGGGGATGTCCGTCTTGGGGAAGGGAGAGCTCTTAAAGAAGATGAAGTCCCACACCACCCTGGTCATCTGTTCTGGCCTGACAGACAGAGAGACAGAGAGAGAAAGAGAAACACTCAGATTATAAAGTGGCTCCAATAGCACTGTATCCATAACCAACTATAGGGATTTAAAAACCTCTGGCACACTGCATTCATCCTCTTCCATGAAATATATACATGTGCAAAATAGTACATTATAAACATATCTCCAACTATTACAATGAACATGTTCTCTATTGCAACAATGTTGAAAAGGACATATGAAGGTGTTATAATGTCCTCAGTCTGCATCTACAGAAGCCTATTGCCACTAAATTAAATGACCATGTGAGAGTAGAGAGTGGTGCATACTTGATCCCTACAGGCGACGGTCCCTGTCCGTTGAGCACTCCCCCCTGGAGGAAGTGAGCCACGGTGTAGTAGGTCATGTAAATGGTCGAGTCAGACAGGGACTCCATTAGCCACTGTTTTTTATTTATTTTTATTTTTAGTCATTTAGCAGACGCTCTTATCCAGAGCGACTTACATGAGCAATTAGGGTTAAGTGCCTTGCTCAAGGGCACATCGACAGATCTTTCACCTAGTCGGCTCGGGGATTAGAACCAGCGACCTTTCGGTTACTGGCACAACGCTCTTAACCACTAAGCTACCTGCCGCCACTGCTGGTCCCATGACAACCTTGTTCCTATGGCAACAAGCACACCGGAAAAAACAACAACAATCAACCACCACCTAGTGTGAACATTAAGGGATATGCTTATCATATAATTACTGTGGTTTTACATGCTGGGTCCTCCACTGAAATGGAAAATTGATTATTAAGCATGTGAAACATGTGTCCTTCCTGTAGTTTGGCACATTATCTACTAAAACATGCTTCCTTTTTCTGGGTATTTTGTCTCCATCTAAAGTCCATGCACATCACTTCACTTTCACACCATCCCAATATTCCCCAAAGCCTCTGAATGGTTGCTGATGGTCTCAAAAGATGTGTTCCGGTCACACCCTGGCTCTGGGACTCTATATGTTGAGCCAGGGTGTGTTTATTCTATGTGTTCTGTTTCTTTGTTTGGGTGTTCTAGGTTGGTTATTTCTATGTTTGCCTGTGTGACTCCCAATCAGAGGCAACGAGTGTCAGCTGTCGGCTGGTTGTCTCTGATTGGGAGCCATATTTAACTGTCTGTGTTTCACTTTGTGTTTGTGGGTTTTTGTTCCGTGTCGGTATTTTGTCACCGTGGACTTCACGAGTCGTGTTTTGTTTTGATAACTTTAACTAATTAAAGTCATGTTTGTTTCACACGCTGCGCCTTGGTCTACTCACTCCTACGACGATCGTGACAGAAAAACCCACCATACCAGGACCAAGCAGCGTGTCCAGGAACACACGCAGGAGGTGACTCTTGTGGATGTCCTCCTCGGTTGGGGGCAGATTACTGAGGAGGAGGCCGTCCGGTACCGGAAGGCGATAAAGGGGGAGACCCAGGCAGGAGAGGAGCAGCGGCACCAAACGGGTCAACGTCGGACAGGCGAGAGGCACCCCCAAGAATTTTTTAGGGGGGGGCACACGGCATGGGCGACTGGGCAGCAGGAGGCTGCCACAGGGCGAATTGGGAGATTAGGAGAGGAGGCCACCGGGTTTTGGGGGCCAGAAGGCAGGTTGGCGGAGCCTGGATGGAGAGCAGAGCCAACTCCCCGTACTCAGGCATGGCAGCATGAGACTGGGCAGGTTCCGCGGTATGCGGAGCTGCGCACTGTGCCACGAGTGGTCCGGCATAGTCCGGTACGAGCACCCCGCACGTGTTGTGCGAAGGTGGGCATGCAGCCAGGACGGAGTGTGCCGGCTCAGCGCTCGTGGCCTCCAGTGCCTCTCCTCGGTCCCGGATATCCTGCGCCAGTGTCACGTGCTGTTATGCCAGTACGGGTACACAGCCCTGTACGTCCTGTGCTGATGCCTCACACAGAGTGTGTGAAGGTAGGCATTCAGCCAGGACGGGTTGTGGCGGCTCTTCACTCCAGGTCTCCTATCCGTCTCCATAGCCCAGTCCGGCCTGTCCCTGCTCCACGCACCAAGCCTACGGTGTGCGTCGCCAGCCCAGTCCGGCCTGTCCCTGCTCCACGCACCAAGCCTACGGTGTGCGTCGACAGCCCAGCCCAGCCTGTCCTTGCTCCACGCACCAAGCCTACGGTGTGCGTCGCCAGCCCGGCCCGGCCTGTGCCTGCTCCACGCACCAAGCCTACGGTGTGCGTCGCCAGCCCAGTCCGGCCTGTCCCTGCTCCACGCACCAAGCCTACGGTGTGCGTCGACAGCCCAGCCCGGCCTGTTCCTGCTCCACGCACCAAGCCTACGGTGTGCGTCGCCAGCCCTGCCCGGCCTGTTCCTGCTCCACGCACCAAGCCTACGGTGTGCGTCGACAGCCCAGCCCGGCCTGTCCCTGCTCCACGCACCAAACCTACGGTGTGCGTCGCCAGCCCAGCCCGGCCTGTTCCTGCTCCACGCACCAAGCCTACGGTGTGCGTCGTCAGCCCGGCCTGTCCCTGCTCCACGCACCAAGCCTACGGGGTGCGTCGCCAGCCCGGCCCGGCCTGTTCCTGCCACTCGCACCAAGTCTACGGTGCGCGTCGCCAGCCCGGCCCGGCCCGTTCCTGCCACTCGCACCAAGCCAGGGGTGCGAGTCGTCAGTCCGGCACAACCCGTGCCTGGGTCATCGGTGCCAATTCAGGTACCGCTCTACTGCTCCACTAAGGAGCTGAAGCCTACCGCTCCTGCTACGTCCAGTCCAGCTCCAGCCAGCGGGGCCAGACCGGACCAGGGGCGCTATGGGGGGTTTGTTGGAGGGTGGTGGGCAAGCCCGGAGCCGGAGCCGCCGCCGAGGAGGAATGCCCACCCAGCCCTCCCCTGTTTTGCTCGTATTTAGGCGCGGTCGCAGTCCGCGCCTTTAGGGGGGGGTACTGTCACACCCTGGCTCTGGGACTCTATATGTTGAGCCAGGGTGTGTTTATTCTATGTGTTCTGTTTCTTTGTTTGGGTGTTCTAGGTTGGTTATTTCTATGTTTGCCTGTGTGACTCCCAATCAGAGGCAACGAGTGTCAGCTGTCGGCTGGTTGTCTCTGATTGGGAGCCATATTTAACTGTCTGTGTTTCACTTTGTGTTTGTGGGTTTTTGTTCCGTGTCGGTATTTTGTCACCGTGGACTTCACGAGTCGTGTTTTGTTTTGATAACTTTAACTAATTAAAGTCATGTTTGTTTCACACGCTGCGCCTTGGTCTACTCACTCCTACGACGATCGTGACAGTTCCGGACGTGAGAGGTCCCAGAATGTTTTCTGGCAATGTGCCTCCCTAGGGCTCTAGTTACAGACTGTATGTTATAGGTAGAACTAGGCCCAGAGTTTAGTCAGACTGTATGTTATAGGTAGAACTAGGCCCAGAGTTTAGTCAGACTGTATGTTATAGGTAGAACTAGGCCCAGAGTTTAGTCAGACTGTATGTTATAGGTAGAACTAGGCCCAGAGTTTAGTCAGACTGTATGTTATAGGTAGAACTAGGCCCAGAGTTTAGTCAGACTGTATGTTATAGGTAGAACTAGGCCCAGAGTTTAGTCAGACTGTATGTTATAGGTAGAACTAGGCCCAGAGTTTAGTCAGACTGTATGTTATAGGTAGAACTAGGCCCAGAGTTTAGTCAGACTGTATGTTATAGGTAGAACTAGGCCCAGAGTTTAGTCAGACTGTATGTTATAGGTATAATTAGGCCTAGTTTAGTCAGACTGTATGTTATAGGTATAATTAGGCCCAGAGTTTAGTCAGACTGTATGTTATAGGTATAATTAGGCCCAGAGTTTAGTCAGACTGTATGTTATAGGTATAATTAGGCCTAGTTTAGTCAGACTGTATGTTATAGGTATAATTAGGCCTAGTTTAGTCAGACTGTATGTTATAGGTATAATTAGGCCTAGTTTAGTCAGACTGTATGTTATAGGTAGAACTAACTCCTGGCCCTGCTTTGCTGGACATGCTTTGCTGTGACACCAAACTAACTCCACTGATCCTGCCCCCTGTCCAAACTAACTCCACTGATCCTGTCCCCTGTCCAAACTAACTCCACTGATCCTGTCCCCTGTCCCATGTCCAAACTAACTCCACTGATCCTGTCCCCTGTCCCATGTCCAAACTAACTCCACTGATCCTGTCCAAACTAACTCCACTGAGCCTGCCCCATGTGCCTGTCCCCCTCCTCACCCAGGCCATAGGTACGAGAGCAGGTGTGCTCCTGGAGCCAGTCCAGAGTGGCCTCTAAGTTCTTCCTGGTCTCATCACAGAACCTAAAGAGTCCAACCCATACAAGAGGCACAGTTTAAACATCTCCATATTGACCAGACAGACACACAGCCCAGGAAATCCTCAACACAGTCTGACACATTCCTTTGACAAGGAGCTTGTTAGCGGTGGTAGAGCATAATCACTGAAGAGAGCTGGGGAAGTTGAGCGACAGAACAGCGGAATGACTCACGTCTCCGGTGGCTTCAGGCATTCCATGGTCTGCTGCTCCCACTCTTGTCCCCATAATGCAGATACCTGTCAGACCGGACACAGCAAACTGCAGAAATGTTGCTCAGGAATGTTCAGTTTCTCTAATAATTACCCTTATATGTTTAGTGAGATGAATACAATCCATACTTGTCTATGCTGTCAGGTAGCCTGGAATCCATACAGTGAAACAGAGCAATATTCAGTGTGGATTTCCATGCTAGTTTTCAGAGGCTCCCATCAGGCCCATCCACTCACCACTGGTCGCAGAGTGCCACCACACACTCGTCTGCAGAGTGTGACATCACCTGCTTCCCTGGCTCCATGTAGCTCAAAGCTTGGCCCTGAAACATTGGTATAGGTCCATGTTAGAACACACTAATGCATATCAAAGAAACGTATCAAACACATCAGTAAACAGCCCACGTCAACAACCGTAGCAAACAGCCCACGTCAACAACCGTAGTAAACAGCCCACGTCAACAACCGTAGTAAACAGCCCACGTCAACAACCGTAGCAAACAGCCCACGTCAACAACTGTAGTAAACAGCCCACGTCAACAACCGTAGTAAACAGCCCACGTCAACAACCGTAGCAAACAGCCCACGTCAACAACCGTAGCAAACAGCCCACGTCAACAACCGTAGCAAACAGCCCACGTCAACAACCGTAGCAAACAGCCCACGTCAACAACCGTAGCAAACAGCCCACGTCAACAACCGTAGTAAACAGCCCAAGTCAACAACCGTAGCAAACAGCCCACGTCAACAACTGTAGCAAACAGCCCACGTCAACAACTGTAGCAAACAGCCCACGTCAACAACTGTAGCAAACAGCCCACGTCAACAACCGTAGCAAACAGCCCACGTCAACAACCGTAGCAAACAGCCCACGTCAACAACCATAACAAACAGCCCACGTCAACAACCGTAGCAAACAGCCCACGTCAACAACCGTAGCAAACAGCCCACGTCAACAACCGTAGCAAACAGCCCACGTCAACAACCGTAGCAAACAGCCCACGTCAACAACCGTAGCAAAGAGCCCACGTCAACAACCGTAGCAAACAGCCCACGTCAACAACTGTAGCAAACAGTCCACGTCAACAACCGTAGCAAACAACCCACGTCAACAACCGTAGCAAACAGCCCACGTCAACAACCGTAGTAAACAGCCCACGTCAACAACCGTAGCAAACAGCCCACGTCAACAACCGTAGCTAACAGCCCACGTCAACAACCGTAGTAAACAGCCCACGTCAACAACCGTAGCAAACAGCCCACGTCAACAACCGTAGCTAACAGCCCACGTCAACAACCGTAGTAAACAGCCCACGTCAACAACCGTAGTAAACAGCCCACGTCAACAACTGTAGCAAACAGCCCACGTCAACAACTGTAGCAAACAGCCCACGTCAACAACTGTAGCAAACAGCCCACGTCAACAACCGTAGCAAACAGCCCACGTCAATAACCGTAGCAAACAGCCCACGTCAACAACCGTAACAAACAGCCCACGTCAACAACCGTAGCAAACAGCCCACATCAACAACCGTAGCAAACAGCCCACGTCAACAACCGTGGCAAACAGCCAACGTCAACAACTGTAGCAAACAGTCCACGTCAACAACCGTAGCAAACAACCCACGTCAACAACCGTAGCAAACAGCCCACGTCAACAACCGTAGTAAACAGCCCACGTCAACAACCGTAGCTAACAGCCCACGTCAACAACCGTAGTAAACAGCCCACGTCAACAACCGTAGCAAACAGCCCACGTCAACAACCGTAGTAAACAGCCCACGTCAACAACCGTAGCAAACAGCCCACGTCAACAACCGTAGCTAACAGCCCACGTCAACAACCGTAGTAAACAGCCCACGTCAACAACCGTAGCAAACAGCCCACGTCAACAACCGTAGTAAACAGCCCACAGCGTAAACGAACAACATAGTTAAAGAGCATAAACATGAACACAATAAATATAGATTGGTATTGTATCTGTGGCAGTGTGAGAAGCATGGGCATAGGTGTGGCTGTAGGACTCCCAGTGCAGCACCATGGACAGCGGCACTCAGTTCAGCACTGTGGAAGGCTGCACTACCTTCAGCACCAGGCCAGCTGAAGACAGCGCCACAGTTCTGCTCATCCAACACACCTGTGCAGAATTACTAATCAGCACACCTGCAAGGTATTCCCTAATCAACTGACTGGCACAAGAGTGCAGGCTGGACCTCAGTCAGCTGGAGCAGTTAGGAAGACAGCCTACTCACACTGTGGTGTGCTCTCCTTCCACAGACTCCTCAGAAGGAGAGTTACGGACTGTGCCAGTGAGGCCACATCGACGCAAAGAGACGACAGGTGGCCGCCATCTTTAACCACCCTCTTGCCTGAACGGCTTGTGACTAGAGCGCCAGAGACACGGAAAGCTAAAGTCAAAACATGTGAAAGGAGTTATTACTCTTTTCCGCTTGTGTCGTCGGGCACACCCCACTCCTCCTGACAGCATCAATCATTGATTTCAAACAGGGTACCTTCTCCACCACCATCATCTTCTTGGTGGGTTTCTTGACATCCTGCACCTTTTCGCCCTTGTAGCCTTCAACCAGCATGATCTGAGAAAAGAAGACGGTTCATTAAAAGAATCGGAGAATATGTTGTTGATTTTCCTATACCATTGTACGATGTTGTGTAGGTCTGCTGCACCTCTGTAGCCATAGCTGTCCTACGGGGATAAATAAAGTGGTATTGTATTACATGTATGCATAGTTGAGATGTTATGTTAAGCCATTAGGACTCACCCCTTCATAGAAGCCCTGTATGTTATAGGTACAAGGCACACACTACACTGTCTGGTCATTTAGAGCCAAATAAAGGGTGCGAGAGGCAGTTTACCATCTCAAAAGGTAAGACCATCTTGTCTTTGATTCCATATTTTTCTCTCAGGGCCTATAAGAGGAATCCAAGTGATCTCCAATTACTTCATTAACCAAAACACATTGTACAATGCATAGGTTAACTAATATAGACCAGTAGCCACAAAGGGAAATACTTAAGTAGTGCTGTTAAAGTGTCACCTGTTTCTTTTTTTATATGCTCCCCTTAGGGCAGCAATGTCATCGGGTGCATCGGACGGGATGCTGGTGACAATTCCAGTGCCTGGGTGTCACAAAGCAAGTGGACCAAAGTCACATGAGAAACACAACCAACCTAGAAGCACAAGAAATGCCCTGCGGTGTCGTCAGAGTTTTACCTCATTGCCTTCTCTACCAAACACGGGACGTTGTGCATAAGAGAGAGAACAAAGCCATAGACGTTTCAATTTAGTCACACCATTTCAATGCAGATGTAAACCCCTGGAGCAAAACAGACCAAAATAATTCATTGTAATGACTCCTAGCAAGAGGCAATCCAAGAGCAATGCTGTGGGAGTTGTGTGCAGCATCCCCTCAGGGCCTAAATCAGTAACCATCATCTTTGTACTTCATTTCAATGTTTACTGTGCTCTACAATGACTTATGCCTCCCTCACTTTAGCTCTTCAAAAGGAGGAATGCCTCAAGCCCAATCTAGATGTGCTGGAACAGAGACAGCATGGATGCAGTTAAAGTGGTATTTGGAGCATTCTCAAGATTCTATTCCAATACCTTTGTCCTCCTTGATGGTGAGCATGGGCAGAGCATAGATGGTCTGGTAAGACGTCAGCGGGGCACTAAGAGCACATCTAAGAATATCCTACAGAGAGCTGCACTTCAGCCACGCTCAAGGTCCTAAACGATATTATAACCGCGATTGATAATAGACAGTACTGTGCAGCCGTCTTCATCGACCTGGCCAAGGCTTTCGACTCTGTCAACCACCGCATTCTTATTGGCAGACTAAATAGCCTTGGTTTCTCAAATGACTGCCTCGCCTGGTTCACCAACTACTTCTCAGATAGAGTTCAGTGTGTCAAATCGGAGGGCCTGTTGTCTGGACCTATGGCAGTCTCTATGGGGGTGCCACAGGGTTCAATTCTTGGGCCGACACTTTTCTCTGTGTATATCAATGATGTCGCTCTTGCTGCTGGTGACTCTCAGATCCACCTCTACGCAGACGACACCATTTTGTATACATCTGGCCCTTCATTGGACACTGTGTTAACAAACCTCCAAACGAGCTTCAATGCCATACAACAATCCTTCAGTAGCCTTCAACTGCTCTTAAACACTAGTAAAACTAAATGCATGCTTTTCAATCGAACGCTGCTAGCACCCGCCCACCCGACTAGAATCACCACTCTCGACGGGTCTGACCTAGAGTATGTGGACAACTACAAATATCTAGGTGTCTGGTTAGACTGTAAACTCAACTTCCAGACTCACATAAAGAATCTCCAATCCAAAGTTAAATCTAGAATCGGCTTCCTATTTCGCAACAAAGCCTCCTTCACTCATGCTGCCAAACATGCCCTCGTAAAACTGACTATCCTACCGATCCTTGACTTCGGCGATGTCATTTATAAAATAGCCTCCAACACTCTACTCAGCAAATTGGATGTAGTCTATCACAGTGCCATCCGTTTTGTCTCCAAAGCCCCATACACTACCCACCACTGTGACCTGTACGCTCTTGTTGGCTGGTCCTCACTACATGTTCGTCGTCAAACCCACTGGCTCCAGGCCATCTATAGATCACTGCTAGGCAAATCCCCGCCTTATCTTAGCTCATTGGTCACCATACCAGCACCCACCCGTAGTCTGCGCTCCAGCAGGTATATCTCACTGGTCATTCCCAAAGCCAACACCTCCTTTGGCCGCCATTCCTTCCAGTTCTCTGCTGCCAATGACTGGAACGAATTGCAAAAATCTCTGAAGCTGGAGACTCTTATCTCCCTCAATAACTTTAAGCATCAGTTGTCAGAGCACCTTACCGATCACTGCACCTGTACACAGCCCATCTGAAATTAGCCCACCCAACTACCTCATCCCTATATTGTTATTTAATTTGCTCTTTTGCACCCCAGTATCTCTATTTGCACATAATCTCTTGCACATCTAGCATTCCAGTGTTAATACTATTGTAATTATTCTGCACTATAGCCTATTTATTGCCTTACCTCCATAACTTGCTACATTTGCACACACTGTATATATATTTTCTGTTGTATTTCTGACTTTATGTTTTTTTTTACCCCATATGTAACTCTGTGTTGTTTTTGTTGCACTACTTTGCTTTGTCTTGGCCAGGTCGCAGTTGTAAATGAGAACCTGTTCTCAACTGGCTTACCCGGTTAAATAAAGGTGAAATAAAAAAAAATAAAAAAATAAAAGACATTTACCACTATTTGAGTGGGTGTGTCAGGCTCACATAAGTTGCAGTGTGTAAGTGTGTGTGCAGACACTTAAACATAAGGATGTAATTTAAATGTACACACATTTCCCAGAACATCCATGATCACTGTGACCTTGCCGTTCTTCTTCGTGACGCCCTGGTAAGACATGTTCCTAGCAGACCTCAGTGTGTTGATGAACACGTCTCCACTGGCCGTCTCGAAGGCCATGTACTTGATGTCAGGATGGACCCAGCAGTTAGTCTGGCCAAACATGGTCTCTGGTCTGAGAGTAGCTGCCACCAAGAAGATGCTCTTACCTTTAAGGCCACTGCAGGGACCAGGAAAATACAGTGTTCAGAAGAGTGCAAAAAGATGATTGTATTCTCAAGCAGCAACCTGCTATAATCTGCTGTAACATGCTATTAGGACAACCAACTTGCAACTTATGTCACAATTAACAACATAAAATTGATTGGTTACATCAATGGTACAAAGTTGTTCCAAGTCATATGCTACTAAACAGAATACAGTATGTTGGGTTCACATAGAGTAGTACCTTTAGTTTTGAAGGGTAGGGCTCGACAACCTTCATCTTAATGAGGGTGTAATCCTGTGCTCCATCTCCCTAGAATGTAAAAACATGATTACAGAGCTGCAGTCACACAACACATGCACACAACTCATTGAGATTATGTAGTGGTAAGAACATCTTACCTCTCCAGTCTGCCTGTTAAGGTCCATACACGGCTTTCCATCTTTCGGTGAGTAGATTGTATACTTGCAAAAAGTAATGGTATGACAATGTAATAATGCTACATGGATAATGCAGGGATATTTATAACCATTTCCAACAGCTTACCTTTTACCAAACTTGATTTTCTTCCTCTCCTTCAGAGTGATGAACTGCCACCTCACAAAGGAGTCGTAGAAAGGGTTCACAACGGTCGTGATGAAGGAGCCTTGCCAGTCCACCTGTGATATAATCACGTTTTTAATAACATGGACAGCACCTGAAATGCTTTTTCAAAGTGAACTAAAGCATGGTTGTTGATCTGCACATTCAGGTCTGGATCTTAACTTGAGATCCACACACAACTTTCACAATCATGCATTGATGTAAATGCGAGATTTGCAGGAAAATCCAAGTTATTAGCACAGATCTGACGTTAGGATTCAGTTCTCATCAAACAAATGTAAGTATATTAGTTAACATCAGGCTTCCTGGTAAAATGAAGAAACAAACTCAGTTTGCTGGTTTCTTGTTATAATCACTCACCTTTACACCCATCATCTTTAGGTCTTTCACTGCCTGGGGTGGGAAGTACTCCAGCCAGAGCTCCGCGTTGGCAAACGGTGCCATCTCCTTGTCAACCCCAGAGACTTCATAATGTCCCACTGGAACTTGGACCCTCCAGCCTTTGCCACTGCTTTGCTCTGAAGATCACACACAAGAGAAGTTACATTTTGAATTGTGCATTAATGGAAACAAATTCCCCCAAGCGTATAAGTAGTGCAGAGGATCAATTGATATTGGCATCAAATGTTCACCTTTTTGCCCTTAGATTTGTCCTTGATGATGAACTCCTCTGCAAACTTGGGCTTCTCCTTCTCATCAGGGAACCTCCATCTCTCGCTTCAGCAACCTTCTTAAATAACAGCCAACCACGACCGTGTATGATGTACACAACAAGCAAGAGATTCAAAGTTACTCACTTTGATTGGCGTTCATGTACAATTCAACCCAAATGGAAATAGGCATTGCTTCCCTTTCAAGCACTGGAAACCAACAGCAAACTACAAAGAAATAACGAGATATATAAAATAAAATTACGTAATAAGACTTACATTTAGTACATCTACAAGTCAAATCTATATACATCTTACCCTTCGAAAGGCAGAAAGTATGACCGAGATGCAGCCTTCCATTCATGTAGGGGGAGGTGACAAAGTACTTGTTTTTGCTGTGAATGAAAGGGTGGTACATTAGGAATAGGTTGGGAAAAGTGGGCGTGAAAACTAAAGTAGAGCGTTGATGATCATTTTTTAACCTTCATTTAACCAAGTAAGACCCATTTGAGGTTAAAAAACCTATTTTGTGATGGCGACCTGGCAAGAAGTCAAAACAGGGAAATAGCAGCGTGTACAGAAAATATTACAGAAAAATACAAAATAAACACAACAGACAACGTTTCACAAGTTACAGATACAATTGAAGATTAGAAACAACTGCAGCTATCACAAACAGTGTCGTCGATCAGAGTCTTAAAAACAAGCAAGGACATTAACTCCCCTAACTTTAATATCTTTTGAAGCATGTTCCATAACAATAACCGTCCCAGTAGACTTACTTTGTGCTTTCCCCAATAGTGGTGGGTGCGTCACAATCAAACGTTCTTTCCTTCTCCCATTTCTGTTGGATTTCCTGTCTTTCTGAGGAAGTCCAACTTTGCTGTTCCATTTCACTCCTAAAATCAATATTATGTATAATTAATTGAGATTGAAGAACATCAATCAAATGTATTTATAAAGCCCTTTTTACATCAGAAGATGTCATTCCTCATCATCAATATAGTGGCAATCAGTAGTTGAAACAACAAAGTGAACTCCCTGCCCCCGTTTTGGTAAAAAGGTAAAGGATGGGGCTGGTAAAGGATGGGGCTGGAGAAATGTAACCACTCTCAAATTCATAGACAGAGCTATGGATTCAAAGGCTGACCATCCATGATATCTAAACGATAGTTTTAACCATGTTTTGAGTCTATTTAGTGTTTGTTTACATGTACTTTGTTTACAAACATTGGAGTAAAACAAACTTATATTTTGGGTTCTGATGGGGTACGACAGTTGACAAGTTATATTCTTGAAGAATCAGTGGGTACATATCATTAATTTATACGTCCAAAAACGGATGTAGCAACTGCAGATTGCCCCTTTAAACAACATGTTTTGTAGTCATCAAATAAAAGCTCTGGGTTGCCCCCTTTAAACAACATCAAATAGAAGCTCTGGGTACTTCATTGTCAGCATTCAGCCCAATTGCCAAATGTTATCGTAGTTTAATCGGTTAACGTTAGCTAGCTATGTTATGTTCAATAACTGACTTGTGTGAAGAGCACTCAATATGTTGTCAACTCTCCCTCTTTTAAATCATGATTCACTAGCACACATGATGAATTCAACCAAAGAGGAGCGAACTAGACAGCCAGATATAGCTGTACTGCTGCTGACCAGTGTCGTCTTAGCTGGTAGCTGCAATATCCATTAGCTAAGTGCTAACTAACATTTTAACATTTACATTTGAGTCATTTAGTAGACGCTCTTATCCAGAGCGACTTACAGTTAGTGCATACATTTTTCATACATGCCCCCCGTGGGGTCCATGTCACGTAGTTAGCTAGCTATGCGCATACTTTGACTAGCATTACACCTGAAACACATCATAGATTCACAAACAGAGTGAGGAGCCATGACGGACCGTCATTTTGATTTAGCTAAATACAGAAAACGGTAGAAACAGAAAGTCTGTCAAGAAAACCTTCGGCACTTGGCTGTTGACATCTACAGCAAGGGACAGCTCATTCACACAGCGCAGTCTTCTGGAAAATGTAGTATAAGTGAGGGGCTCTTTCACGGTCATGGCTAGAAGGGATAAAGCTTTTGTCAAATGAACGTCAATTTTTTTTTTTTGCATTTAGCTAACCTTAGCTTAATTATCCTAACCGGCTACGTTAATTATCCTAACCTTCTGCGTAATTTCTCCTAACCTGCTACGAAAAGTCAAATCTGACATTAATTTGACAAAAACTGGATTCCTTCTAGCCATGAACCTCTTTTACAGCAGAAGGAAGCAGCCTACTTTCTCTGGAGTACGAAAACACAATCAGAATATTCCACACAAATATCAATGCAAAGACATATATAGATTATAATTTTATATTTTTTAAAGGGGTGAAATTATTTTGTTAATATAAGATTTTAGTCAAGAGTCAACCCTGGCCTGGCTCCACTAGGTTTGTTCAAATAATATTAAAATTTTGAAATAGAGCTGCAACACCAAAGATAAACAGTTTCATGATGATTGGTCACAGCCTAAACTCAGGGTCAGCGCTATCGGGAATCCTTGAGACGTCCCTACCCTAAACCCAAATCTTAACCCTGCCCTAACTTAACCCTGCCCTAACTTAACCCTAACCTTAACCCTGCCCTAACTTAACCCTTACCTTAACAATGTTAAACGTAAACTTCAATGGGGTAGGGACGTCCTAAGGATCCCAGATAGCAAGGAACCCTGAGTTTAGTGTGGCCAGCTGATCGGCTTACGACATTGCCAGTTATGTTGCTATGCCTGTGTTTGAACGTAAAGCAATTCGTACGACCTGCAAGTGAAGTGACTAGTGAAGGCCTAGCTAAGCCTAATATACATTTATAGACGATGAAAGTAGGAATATCACAACGCACCTTGAACTTATAGTCAGTATTGTTAAGTCGTTTTCACGATGATCATAGAAAATGTGGAAGCTTTGAAGTCGTGGCTGGCAAAACTCCTGGAGCCAATGTGAGTGATGATTAATTGAAATGACATTTAGCTAGCTTGCACGAGTTAGCTCGCTAGCTACGCCATCGCTAACGTTAGCTTATGTGGCAATAATAATACAAATGTAACGTTTGTTGTATAAATTATACGCATCACACATTTTGCATATCGGATTTGTTGGGCAAATTGCAGACACTAATCTGATTATAACATTTTAGATATGTTTTGGTGTCGCTGGCGCAATTAATTTAGCTAACTAATTAAGTAGCTAGTTACAGTAGTTAACTTGACCAGCTAGCTTGCTCAACTCAATCAATATCGTCCCACTTAAGGTGAATGATTTATATGAATGGCTACACAGCAAGTTTGACTTGTGGTGAATGGGTAACTACTTAGGATATTAACCAAACTAGAGTAGACTGTCATAAATGTAGTGGCTAAGTTAGATGAGCTACCCGTCCATAGACACTGCTAGCAGTGACGTCTAGCATTTAGCCAACCAGCTAGTTAGCCAGTTAAGCCTGCCATCCAAGTTGATGTAGCTACGTGTGTGTTGTCATTTGTAGCAGATGTGTTATGTAGCACGAGATTAGTGTCTAACCTGCTGCCTTATAAACCTCGAACTTTCTGTCCTTACAACTCTCTTGGTTACAAATGAATGATTCTAGCTACATATTGTCTAATGCAGTGGTTCCCAACCTTTTTCGGTTACTGCACCACCAATTGAACTTTGCTCTGCCCGGAGTACCCCCCTCATGTGCATTTTACCAGTATCCTATGGTCTCATGAGTCTTCTCAAGTACCTCCTGTGGATAGGCCAAGTACCCCCAGGGATCCTAGTACCCCTGGTTGGGAACCATGCAAACCCTGTTGAGTAATATGGATAATGTTTGCTTTTGCAGATGTGAGGCCGACCCCTCTGCTTTAGCCAACTATGTTGTGGCTTTGGTAAAGAAGGACAAACCTGAGAAAGAGTTGAAAGCACTTTGTGCAGATCAACTGGATGTCTTCTTACAAAAAGGTAGGCAACATAACCCCTTAACGTCAGTGTTGATTTGCATCTCACCGACTAACGTTAGTATTTTCATTGTGTAAACATGTAGTTGACTGACTGATAGTATGAAATAATTTGAGAGAAATGTTTATAAAAGTCTTATGCCTCGATGCTTTCCCTATTGCAGAGACCACTGGTTTTGTTGATAAGCTCTTTGAATGTTTGACCACCAAAAACTACTTGGGGAATCCACCTGCTAAGGAAGTTCCCAAAGAGGAGCCCAAACTCCCCGTGCTAAAACAGGAGGCTGTGGAGGTAAGGGCTTTTTTAAGCTTCCTCTGTCGTATTATGTCGCAGTCTTTGATGATGGGGATTTAGCTAGCTAACTATTGTTGTTTTCTTAAGGCTGAAAATGTAGACGAGGAAAGGGGGGATAACAGGAGGCGGAGAAGTCCACTGAGAAGCCGCTCTGACTTCAACGATTCAAGGTGAGGCTGGAATCTATATGTTTGCTATTATTTTCCTGGTGTTCTCAAGTGGCTTCCTCTTGACAGTGATGAAGCTCTCTGGGGTCAATATGTTAGTTTGATTAGGCCCTTGAGTCTAATGGACTGCGCCTTTGACACACAATTTAGTTATTGTTGTTGAAATGCTAGTCACATCAATAGTACAGATTACCACAAAAACAGGAAACACCTTGAGTTCGGTGCTGTATAGAAAGTGCTGCTAAATGACCAACCAACATGCCTTGATCGCCTGACCACACAGGGGACGTGATGACCGCAGACGAGACGACCGCAAGCGGCGTGACATGGACCGCCACGGTAAAAGCACAGATTCCCACCGGGAAAGGCATGACCGGCGCGGAGGCAACTCTCGTGGGCGCAGCTACAGTCGCAGCAGGAGCCGCAGCCGAAGTGGGAGCCGTGGCAGGGACAAGGAGCACAGCCGAGGGAGAGGTGAGACTCTCACAGGGGCGCGGGCATGGACAAATCTGCTTTACTTTAAATGTTAACCTGAAAGGTTGAAAACAAATCTTTGCTAAGAACAGACAAAAATAAATGTGTGTATTGATTGGACTTACTGGTGGGGATCCTTAAATGCCCTCTGTGGTGTGCATGTCTCATAATAGGGGTATTTTCTCCTGGGTTATGTGAAATGTTGTTGCATTTTGTGACCTTTGGGTTCAAGCTTTTCTGTGTGTCTGTCTGTGTATGTTAAACAGATTACAGATCAAAGTTTGAAGTGGAGAGGAAGGAGCCCGAGAGTTTCAACTCTACCTCTGGGTCCCTGGTAACCCAACAACAGCACCAGCACCCTCCCCCACTCCTACCAACCCCCCAGCAGCACCCGTTTCCCTCCTCCGGGGGCCAAGCCGTCCCCAACTCTGTTACCGTGGTAGCGCCCGCTCACCTGCCCGACAGCACTACAGAGAGCTGGTCTAATTACTACTCTAATCACAGGGAGGGCAAGCCGTTCAACAAGGGCACTTCAGTCAAGCACCGCTGCCGTGACTACGACGGTAAGGGCTAACTAAAATGATCTAATTTCACTCTGGTCTTAGGTCTATATTATGGGATGAGATGTTACTGATTCCTCCCAGCTTTGCTGTACATCTAGCAGCAAGATCTGGGTTCTATTTTTGTAAGTCATTGAGGACTTATTCTCTTTTACAAGAACAACCTGTTTTTGTTATGTAGCTAAACAGCTTTATCTTTTTTTGTGAATGAAAGGCACAAGACTATCTTCCTGATAACCAAAATAAGTTCTAATGTAATGTATGTACATGCAATAACTTGTAAAAGGATATTGAATATTGAAGCAGGTGGCCTCATATGGCCTTCTAATCATTGTGTGCTTTAGGATTCATATCTCTTGACCGTTAAGCTTAGGTCTACCCTAGTCAGATTGTACAAATATTTAGTAAAATACCAGTCAATTGTGTTCATTTGTGGATTAAATGCAGTAGGTTGTGTGATATTCCAACCCTCAGTAAGGTGTTTGCCTGGTTTAAAGCAGCATTTATGACCCTGGTTGAACATCCTTCCCCTGAGGGACACTGTTTCTATTCATCCAACAGTCTCAACAGCAATGAGATATTTTTCACTCCACCCCACCAATGAGATTTCTCTCTCCAGCCTGGATCTTGTCAGGAACTGTAAACAAAAATTGTCAAGGTTGCCAAACCGATAATCTCATTTGGGCTGATATAATTTGTATATTAATTTTAAAAAAGCTATTATTGGCAAGGATCTTGCTGAGTGCATTTACATTAAGAATGCAATTCATATTTTTTTTAATGGAATTTTGATCAATCCTTTTTCCTGTCTTCCACAGAGAAAGGTTTCTGTGTGCGTGGTGACCTCTGTCCCTTTGACCATGGCAATGATCCTCTGATCGTGGACGACGTCACGCTGCCTGCCATGATCCCGTTTCCCCCACCTGGCATGCCACCACCGGCCCGGATGGCCATGCCCCCCCACGGCCAGCCGCCCCCGGCCATCAGGATGGCCATGCCCCCCCACGGCCAGCCGCCCCCGGCCATCAGGATGGCCATGCCCCCCCACGGCCAGCTGCCCCCGGCCATCAGGATGCCCATGCCTCCCCACGGCCAGCCGCCTCCACCGGGCATCTTCCCTATGCCTCCTCCTGGTGAGTGATGTTACCATGTCTCCAATTAGGCCCTCACTCCTGACCTCGGAATGCTCACCAGTCAGTGTTTGACACAGGCTAAAGCTATAAGTAGGGCCAATAGTTTTTCCTGGTCAGGCCACATGATTAGGAAAATCCCAGGGCCCTAGCTTTAGTTCCTGATGTGGTGAGAGCATAGAGAGAGAGGACTCATCATGGATATGACCCCTTTTAGCGTGGACATTGCCATTGAGTGCTTCCACCATGCTTCCGCCGTTTATAAAGCAGTCAAAGTAGTCAACTGGGTGGGGATTCCTATGGGTTGTTTCCTCCGTGGCGCTGCCCATGCTGTCACAGACACTACAATGGCACAGATAGAAAGACGAGTCCTCTGTCAGTTTCTATGGGTCATTTTAGGATGCATGGATGTGTGTTTAGCGTCAATGAGTATAAAGCTGTTTCCATTTGTTCAAGGCTTGCCTGTTCCATGGTGAAATAGCAATGTTTAAGGACTGTTTGTTGTGCTGCGTAGAAACGCACCTCAGGGAAACCACTGTCTTTGTTGTCTTACCCTCACTGGTACTCACCCTATACTTAATGTGCATGTCTGGAGTACTTTACTTAGCCTATTCTGTTTAGGAGTTTATTAAGTAAATGGCCAGTGTCTATTATTTGCTGGGTTCAGCTTGGAATTGTATCTCTCTTAGGGCCCCCGTTAATACCTACCAGTGGGATAGAAACTCCCAACCACTCAGGGACGAGTTCCGCCTCCTCTCTGGGACCACCTGGAGTGGGACCTCCTCCTCTTCCTCCACCTCCTCTTCCTCCACCACCTCCTCCTTCCTCCTCTTCTCTCTCTCTACACCCCCAATATTCTCAGTCAGAATGTAAGCGGCTATGCTTTTTCTCAATAAGCTTGGCAAAGTGGTACTTTTATGAGCAAAGCTCCCATATTGTTCACGTTTTTGTCAGTTTATTTTCTTTGACATACACTGCCTTTCAAATCCATGTGAACCAAATGGTATTGTTCAGTTCGACTGTAGTAAGTGAGGAAGGACATAGAAATGCTATTGTCTTAAAGTATTTATGGTCACATGGTTCATTCACGTGTTGGGAATGATTTCCTTTTTGTGTGGAGGTGTTAGTTTTGTTTTTATGCTACTGCCTGGCCTGCATGATCTAGTTGTTTCTTTAGGGTGCAGTAGCATATTTTGACCAGAGGGGTGCACTGTTTATGAACTAAAGTCCGCTGTTGCTGTAAGCTGCACATTAGATGAGTGCAAAAACTCTATTTTAGTAATCCTGCCCACATAAGAGAGGAAATTAAAATGCAGTGCATTTCACTACTCTCAACTGAAATGTTATTTTTAGTTGCTCTAGTTTAGTCCCAAGCCATTGCATATTATATAGCAAAAGCAGACTGTATAATATTGAGTTCTATACTAGCACTGTACTTTTCCTCCCTTCCATGTAGTTGTAGTGTAGCCATACAGTTAAAGTAGGTGTTATGATGGATAGGCCTGTTTGGGTAATCTCACTCTCCACTGTGTAAAACATTGTTTGAGTTCTTCTAATGATGTCTGTGTCTTCTCCCTTGTGTTGCCAGATAATTACGACCCAGAGGGCTACAACCCAGAGTCTCCAGGCATGACAGCAACTGGCCGGCCCCAGTACAGGCAGTTCATCCCCCGCATCCAGACCCAGAGGCCCAACCTGATCGGCCTCACCTCCGGGGATGGACAGGGATCCAGAGGTATCACATGTGGGTCTTACTTTGGTGGTTTAGGTTGGGCTTTCTGTCTGATCCTAACCCATAGTACACATGAGGACTTCCATATTTAGGGCGCTATAAAATCTGTTTTATTTTTTGCCTGATTCCATTTAAATGTTCCCAAAACTTAATTGGATGTTGTAAGTCCACAAAAATGCTTAAATCGCATCAGGAGACCACTTTTGAAGTCTGGGAATTGTGCACCTAGCCAAGAGGGTGTTGTTTATCAGTGTTTTCTGTAGTGTGCATGTGATGGTTGAGTTTGCAAAACAAATACCCACTGGATTGATTAAAATAATCATTATATAATTCTGCCAGGTAAGCATAGGGCCTTGTGGAATTATGCAAATATATCCTGAAGTTTGTAGTTAACATTTAATTGAAGGTTTTTGGGAAAGCCTTTCTATCAACCAGAAGACTGTTTTCATTAGCTAGCGTCATCGCTAATAGCTACAGAAAGTGGTAGATGCGTGCACTGCACATGTACAGAAGGGCATTCTCCTTGCCTCTTCAGAGAGTTGCAGGAAATGCGAATCACTGATGCATTCTGTTCATGTCTTATGATAAACTTGAAGTTAATTAATGTTCAATACATTTAAATTGAACAAAAATATAAACGCAACATGTAAAGTGCTGGTCCCATGTTTCATGAGCTGAAATCCCAGAAATGTTCCGTATGCACAAAAAGCTTATTTCTCTAAAATGTTGTGCACATATTTGTTTACATTCCTGTTAGTGAGCATTTCTCCTTTGCCAAGATAATCCATCCACCTGACATGTGTGGCATATCAAGAAGCATGATCATTACAAAGGTGCACCCTGTGCTGGGGACAATAAAAGGCCACTTAAAAATGTGCTGTTTTGTCACACAACACAATGCCACGGATGTCTCAAGTTTTGAGGGAGTGTGCAATTGGCATACTGTCTGCAGGAATGTCCACCAGAGCGCTTGTCAGATAATTGAATGTTAATTTCTCTACCATACGCTGCCTCCAATGTCGTTTTCGAGAATTTGTCAGTACTTCCAACCGGCCTCACAACCGCAGACCACGTGTAACAGCGACAGACCATCATGCTGCGTGGAAATGAAAATAAAAGTGCAGGAAATGCATGCAGAAGTTGATGTAAATGCAGGAAATTATTTGTGTTTGGAGTTGGATTGAACAGTATAGGTGGAGCCCCATGGAAATCACTTATAATTTATGTGGTGCCACCCTAGGGTCATGAGATACTCAAAGCATATTTGGAACATTTATTATTCATAAACATACAATACCGTCAAATGTCAATAATTGTAATATTATATTTTTCCATATCGCCCAGCCCTACAAACACTGCCATTTAATCTTTGATATTGTTGAATGAGCTAATTATTTCAAAGGGATATAAAACGTATTTGGTTGCAATGTTTTACATCAAGGGTGGTCAACCATCCTCCAGGAGAACTACTGGGTGTGCAGGCTTTTATTCCAGTCCCCCTTTAACAAACCACATTTTAGAAATTAGCTGCTCGACCGAACCTTGTTAAACTGGCTCTGATGTGTTTGAGCAGGGCTGGATCAAAAGCCTGCACACCCAGTAGCTCTCCAGACTGAGGGTTGACCATACACATTTTTTTTTTATAGAGTTGCCTAACCGGTATTCTACTTTGTGGTGGGGGGGTTAAGTGCCTTGCACAACGACAGGAGATGGTGCATGGGTTCAGAGAGCAGCTTTCCAGTGTCCATACCACATTCATGCTTACTTTTTTATACGTACATAGACGCTGCCAATTGTTGGTCATGGAAATTTGGTGTAAAGTCACAATTCCATCTGTCAAAATGTGTATGAACCCAGACTAAACATATCCTCAGTGTCATCCAGACACAGCGGTCCAGATTCTAGCTGTCATTATGACTGACGTTGTGTTTCTCCTGTCCCAGCGGCTAACATAGTGATCCAGACAGAGCCGGCAGTGGCCAGTGTCCCCAGCAGTGTGTCATGCTACAGCAGCACAGAGCAGGAGAGTAGGAAGAGGCCCCTGGGGCCCACAGAGGGTCCACCGCCCAAAACAACCTGGATGGACAAGTAAGAACACACACAGTATCCACCCTCCACTGCAGAGTTGGGCTCGATTCCAGGTCAATCGCAGTTTTTTTATTTTATTTGACATTTCCTCTGTAGGAGTGCAACTAATGTCCTGAATTTAGATGACTTGTCACTTAACCCCAACTCTGCTTCACGATAGACCACCTCTGACCTCAGAGCATTGTCATTGGCTCCTCTGCCTTGTCACTCATGTCTGTGTGTCATTATCTTCCAGACCCAACTACCAGGCCAACAACCAACTCACCTTCCCCAACAACAAGCCCCAACACGGGGGCTTCCCCAAGAAGAATCACTACGTCAATACTAAGCTTGAAGTTCGCAAAATCCCCAGAGATCTCAACAACATCACCAAATTGAATGAGCACTTTAGCAAGTTTGGTACCATCGTAAATATTCAGGTAAGATATCTGACAATTCCTTGAAACCATTTGTACCACTAAACAAAGGGTTCTATTTAGATCAATAAATGTTAGGGCGTCTACATACAGTTTACTTATGAGGCCCCGTGAAGCTCAGTTGGTAGAGCATGGCGTTTGCAACGCCAGGGTTGTGGGTTCGATTCCCACGGGGGGCCAGTATGAAAAAATAAATATATGCACTCACTAACTGTAAGTCGCGCTGGATAAGAGCATCTGCTAAATGACTAAAATGTGATCAAGGACAAACCTTCTGGCCTTCTTCACTACTTTCTGACATGTCTCCTCCAATAGGTGGTGTTTGGTGGCGACCCCGAGGCAGCTCTGATCCAGTACACAGCCAACGAGGAGGCACGGCAGGCCATCTCCAGCACTGAGGCGGTGCTCAACAACCGCTTCATCCGAGTGTACTGGCACCGTGAGACCAACACCCAGCAGCAGGGACAGGGCATGGGCCAGGCGGACGGACACGGACAGAGCTCTGCCATGGGGCAGCAGCACCCCAATGTTCACAAGGTGGACAGAGCCCTTCTAACTACAGCTAAAACCTTTTTAGCTGGCCAAGCATTTATATTCATTCAAACAGCAGTTTTGATTTGGAACGGCGAAGTTCTATGTTCCAGGTTAGACATGATCACCATTCTCTCTTGACTCTTATGTATCTATAAATCAGCAGGTGATCAAGCAGCACAGTCCCGGGGCCTATGTGCTGAATAATAAGACGGTGACCAAACATGGCCTTGGTGTTGGGGCTGTGGCCGGGGGCAAACTGGACGCCCTGCACCCCAGCGCAGACCCTGCAGCGGTAAGCCGTCAGCTCCTATGGTCTGAGTGTGCCCCTATGCAGGGCTACACCATGGTGTTGTATGATGGTAAAGAGAGTGGATTGATAGTAATCAAAGGGTCTGTCTGTCTCTTCCTGTCGTAGGCACTCTTCTCTACCTCTGTGGCCCTTCAGAAGGGACCCTACAGCTCCACAGTCCTCAAGGGAGCGTCCAAGTCACTTGGTAAAACTGCCAGAGCGCTTGAAGCACAGGAGGTCTTGAAAAAGAAGCAGGCAAGTCATTTTTGCCGTCTGTATTTGGAATGATTTTCATAGTGTTGCATTACCTTTTATACACAAGTCAAAATGACACTATAAACTATTGTTTGGTTTGTTGTTGTTTCAGGAGACATTGAAGTTGCAGCAGGACATGAGGAAAAAGAAGCAGGAGATGCTGGAGAAGCAGATTGAATGTCAGAAGGTAAGATGGTTGCTTATACTACATATAGTTAATAATTTAAAAGATGCCACCATCCCCACCTTCCATGTTAGAGTTGCACTTTAACCACATGCTGTGATCATCATTGCGTTGTCCTTTCACTATCAAAACAAGTACACCTCTAGACCAAGAGACCCTGGGTGTTGTCCTGGATACCCTGCTCATCTAACATTGGTTAGTCAGTTAATCTCATGTCCTCCCTCCTATAGGCTCTGATCAACAGACTTGAAAAGAACAGGGCCACATTGAAGCCAGAGGAGAGGGCCAACATTATGAAGACTCTGAAGGATCTGACCGACAAGATCTCCCAGCTCCAGAACGAGATGAACCCAGCCTCCCTCTCCACAGCCAACACGGCTCAATCCAAGACGAAGACAGACGTAAGTCTACCTACCATATCATATGGGGCCATATTACTTTACAGAGGTAGCGCAGACATTTTTTATTTATTTAATTAGTCAATGTAGTGCATGCCATAGAAATAGACTGAATAGAAAGGGTGTCCCCATTCAAGTCGATGATGGCATAATGGGTAGACTGGTGGCCATTGTGATTGTACCCATAGGAGCAAAGCAGGAAGTAAAAGCAGGAAGTGTACCCATCAATCTGTGCTGTGATTTGTTGAATCAACTCAACTGACATTACAAAAAATACATTCCATTGCATGCACCAAATCAGTTAACATAATTTGAATTAACATTCTACATTACCATGGAAATTATTGCATCACAATACCAGGCAGCCATTGCGAGTGTGAGTACCCATGAATTTACCAGTCAAATTGCCAGGGTTAAGCCCCGCTTCCACTGGCACTTAAAATTAGGGGCAAATTCGAGCTGGGTCGAGGGAAACCTGGGCCAGCGCAGCCCAGATTCACAACTGGTGCCAGTATATACAACTGGTGCCAGCCAGTTACTATCCACCAGCTAATCACTGCTGGATGTTGACACATTTAGCTAGCTCATCTGGGCTTGTTGCTGTTAACTAGCACATGGACAAGCAGTACTGCAGTAGTCAGACATGACACAAATTACCACCATAGCTGGATCCTCATTCATTTTTGCACTACAGAATAAACTTTTATGAGAACAGTCAGCCCTCTAATGCTAGCTACCAAACGTTAGCTAGCAAATCAGAGTTGAAAAAACCTAGCTAGCTAACGTGAGCTAGCAGGAATTTTAGCCGGCCAGTTCGTATTGAAAGCTAGCAGCAACATATCAAACGCTAGCTAGCTAGCCTGTTATGCTAGCGATGACACTAACCGTTTTGCTAGCTAGCTAGCTAGCATCAACAAGTTAACTACATGGCTCTGAGCAGTGGCGGCTCCTGAAAAAATTCTCAGGAGGGGCAATTTTTCTGATGATTTAGGTGACCTACACACATTTTTTAAAAGATATGTCCAGCAACAACATGAAGACAGGGGCAGCATATAAGTCAATACCAGAAGCATTTATTGACTGATCTCAAAAGTGTTGGCTTACAAAAGCAAAATAAGTTATCACAGTAAAAATAATCAAGGGTGTTCTTTCACATTCCTCAACACTGCATAAACAATATGTATGGCTTTGTAAAAATGAACAACCATATTCTGGCCAATTGTATAGATTTGTAAATATGAACAACCATATTCTGGCCAATTGTATAGATTTGTAAAAATGAACATGAACAGATTTTTTTATTTTTTTATTCCTCTTTTTAGTCAGCTTTAGAATGTGTTCATACACTTATGAGCACCACTGTACAGTACACATAGTATATAAAATAAGATAGATTACACCACTGGCCATATATAATGACAATAATGTAATTTCAAACACAAATGCAGTCTCCTTTCATGCATACATTTTCAAATAAAGCTCTGCTTTGAGAAAGATCGAATGATATTGTTTAATCTTTATCTTACCTTATGGCCTGCACACTGCTTGCGAAGCTGTCGAGGGCACGTTTGATAAAGACAGCATCGATGTCCTTATTCTGTAGCTTCTGGTACGGTGGGCTGGTCAAATGAACCCAATGAACCCGTCCGGATGGCTTCAAAACATTCTATGAGGTCGTCTCGATTCTCGTAGACAGTGTTCACGACTCTGCTGTTGCTAACCTCATCGTTGTGGCGGCGGACAGCTAGCCTGTATCCCTCATCCAGTTGAGTGGCAATATTCACTCTCACCAAAGCAGACAATCTCAAACAGCTATCAATGTGGGTCTTTGACAGCTCATTTTTCTTAATCTTTTCTGAAAGATGGTGCATGTCGGTTACACCAGTCGCTGTCCAAGCGTTGCTGTCTGCCGTTCATGGTTACGTTACGTTACGTATGACGAAAGCGCGTAAGTGCAAGCCCTCAGACACCCATAGAGAATGTATTGAAAGCTCAGAAATTTGAAAAAAATATATTTTACATTAGAGGCTATGAGAGACTTCTGGGCGATTTTCAACCTGACTGAAATCGCCCCAAAACGGGCGGGGACATTTGAAGCACGACTTTAGCCTGATTGGACATTTAGTGGCTGGCAGATCAGACGTGAACACTGAACTACTGTTGCCATGATATAATTGATTAGAAAAAAAATCCCTTCCTTTTCCCGTTTGGCAGTGCGTCGCCCATATCGCCCTATTGAACACACCGCCCATGGCTCTGAGTCTGGCTGGCCCTGGCAGGAGTATGGGGTAACGTTAGTTACAGCATGGTGAGGATGAATTAGATAGCTAGCAATATTAGCGAAGCCAGCTGCATAGTTACATATTGGCTACCTAGCAAGATGACATTTCAAATTTCTGGAGGCAGTGGAAACACAATTTGAGCTAGCCCACCAATGCCAGCCCAACCTGGGTTGTCTTCAAAGGTCCAATGGAAATGGAGCTTTAGAGGCTCCAAGCCTGTTCTGTACTCTGAGTTGATATTCACGTCATAAGAAGGAATTCCCATTGACCACGCTCACAATCATTATTTCCTATTGACCCCCATTGTAAAAGAGCCAACTTTGTTGTTAATTTTTAGTTCTACAAAACATGACAAAGCTGATGTGGTGTTCAATATACATGTAACCTGGTCAAACACCCTGACCTACGGTTCACAATGCTCCCACGTATGAAAATGGAGCCTGCCAGAAGAGCCCTCACGTGGCTGCTAGCGCTGTCATGAAAAGGGGCATGAGGGAAGCCCTACAATATTACGTTTTTCTAAGTAGTGAGAACGCTCCGGAGCAGGCAATGTTGAAAAGTAATCTATAGACATGTTGTACTTTTCTTAAATGTAGTTTTGTAATTGAATAAAACAAGCAGACAACAAGAACATTTGCGTTTGAAAATGTTGTGAGCCAGTGGGGTAACCACAGGTTGTTTTTACCTGAAGGCGGGCAGAGCCACAACGTTCTGTCTAATACCAACTGGGAGTATTCATTTTATTTCTATGCGTTGTGGAAATCCCAAAATAATATCAATGGTGCTCTCCCTCAGGCACAAAAGGAGCTTCTGGACGCAGAGCTTGATTTCCACAAGAAGATGAGTTCTGGAGAGGACACGACCGACCTGAAGAGGAGACTGGGTCAGCTGCAGGTTGAGGTGGGTACACAGGGCGTCCATACTTTGGGAAGTCCTCTCTCTAGCGCTAATGACCATGTATGGATTGTGGCGGTGTTCTGGCATACTGAAGGAGGTGTGGCCGCCTGAACATCTCCAGAACACGTGTACTGTCGGTGGATATGCAACCTTTACAAGAATGGTCTGAAGTGAGCAGAAAGGTATCACCTTGGATGTTAACATATGCCTTGGCCTCACAGCTGTCTGTTGCTAGTCACATTATGTCGTCCTCTGTGTCAGAGGATCAGGCTGTAAACAAGAAACTTGTTTTTGTTAACAACAGCCCTCTGCATGGCTTTTCCAGCCTGGTGTGCTTAAATTAGCCACCATGAAATATGCATGCTTTACCCCTCTTCTGCACATTAAACTGCAGGCACTTACCAAGCCCAGAGGACACCCACTAACGAATCCTAACCAAACACAGATCCTACATTGATGCATCTGATGTCATTAAAGTTTGAGATGGTGTTCCTTGTAAGAAACTGGAGGGATGACAATTAGGAGGAGGAGGAGGGAGGAGGGAGGAGGAGTGGTGAGGAGGAGGAGTGTTGGCGCTCTGCTCCAAGCCATCAGGGCCACCACAGTCAGTCTGCTGGTACATGTTCCCTTGAACTCATTAAAGATGGATACCAGGCCTGTGGGGACACTGGTTCTCAGTAGCACTACATTTTCTTCCTGGATGCTGACGCTGCTGCCTGGCACTGTTTGGTGAGGACATGTCAGGTGACACCATCTCCACCACCTTGGTTTGGGGTCTGGTGACACATGTCTTGGTTCCACATTTGGATCTGTGGCATCTCCTTATAGTGTCAGCTGGCACCTTGTGCTGAATGTTGTTGAGGAATGGAAGTTAGCTGTGGATCTGATGACCTTGTTGACCGTGTTCCCCCCCAGGCCACCCGGTTGGGCCTGATACCGACCGGGCGGGGGAAGGTGGACGATGCAGCAGCCGTCAGGGGCAGGGGCCGAGGAAGGGGCAGGGGACGGGGACACAGAGGAGGAGTCAGAGGAGGGGGAAATCACATGGTGGTGGACCACAGGCCCCGAGCCATCGCCATCTTGGGAGTCACACCAGAAGAGAAGGAGGAGCTTATGCCTCACTTTGTGGTAAGGAAACACACCCTTATGACATCCAGCTAGTCGTATGATTTCCCCAAAACGTCTTATTTTAACCGTGAAAAGTCTGAGCTCGATGTCATCCAGTGGTACAAAGCATGAATCATTATAGTAGTAAAAACAGTGCTTCCACCAGAGAGATGTGTAAAGGAATTTCTGCTGGTATTTACGGCGGTTTTGTGTATTCTCGTCTTTGTCACAGAGATTTGGTGAGATAGAGGAGCTCCGCGATCAGGATGCTACCAGTGTTGTCATGACGTTCAAGACCCGGAGCGAAGCAGAGAATGTATGTTCTACAGATGACATACACACAGTAACGTTTTAATGCCTTTATAACCCAGCAAGTTTTTCATAAGTTTTAATTGAATTTAGCCATTCATGATCATTTTCACATGTTATAGGCGGCAAACCAAGGAGCAAAGTTCAAAGGTCGCGTTCTACAGATTTCATGGTACAAGCCGAAGACACCATCCGTGTCCACAGAACCTGAGGAGGAGGACTCGAAGGAAGAGGTCAATGCGGTACGTTACTAAACATCTTTCCCCATTCATTTTCTGTTATTGTAGCATTTTGGAAAACCATGTTAATAAATCATCTTTCAATGAACTGCTTGATCTAATGACTTATTTCATTTGATTCCTCCAGGAGGAAGTCAGCTCCTACCTGCTCATGGAGGAAGAGGAAGACGACGATGAGGATGACGAGTATGAGTCTCGTTCATGGAGGCGATGAAGGCAATACGAACGTCACGCTTTTTCGTGGGAAGGACTTTGATATATTTTTTTAACTAATTCAAGTTGATTTGACGGAAATCACTTCTTTAGGTTTTTTTAGACCAACTTCCAGTATTTTGAGACTGAAGAATTAAGGACTAATATGATACAAAGTCTATACTTTAATGATGCGTGTGAAGCTTGAAAGGGCAGACTGTTTTCTCTTGAAACATTTGAATAATTATTAAAATCTCACTTTTGCTGAGATAAATATCTAAACTGTTATAAATAGATGTATGTTTCGATGTGGTTACCAGATAATATCAGTAAAACATTTGACTACTGTGAAGAGGTATTTTTATACATATTTAAGCTATGGTTTCATCCTCTCTTTGGCTGATGTTGTCTATAATTACGAGGCTCAAGGTCCACAGACCAGGGATGGCTACGCTGTCACAGATCTCACAGTCTGTCTACAGCAGAGATCGCTATGTTTACAGAAGGCATCAGCGTCCCCTGTTGAAATATAAATTAGATACAGCCTCCATCTTGGATTCCAAGAGACACTTGATATTCCCCTGAGTATGTTGTTGTCGACTAAATGTGTGGTGCCACTTTATGAACACCAGGACTAATGTTACGCACTTTTGAGATGGTAACAACTCTATTTTCTCTTTTTCCAAGTCATCATCTCTGTCTTCTGAGACCAAAGACATCTTTGGATGAGGATCTAGTCATCTATTGTCAAAAGTGTTGGAGATCTGTAGACAATGGTGTTTGAATGTATACTGAGCATTTGGTTTTATATATAATTTTGCCTTAAATAATCAGCAGAAGGCTGCATTTTTATGAGATTTGTGATTTTTCTTGCAATAGGAATTACTTTGATATTTTTTCAGTTTGTCATTTGAATGAGTGTTGAAATTGTTTCAGGAAAAGAGGTCCCATTTTATTTTCAAGAAAGAGTACTTAATATCCCTACTTAAGGTAGGTTTGTGTTAAACCAAACCTTGTGGCGTCACTTCACATAACAACACATTCTTACCAGCTCATCTCTGCCAGGATTTAGCTGCATGGTTTTGCGACCTGACAAGTAACCAGCCATTTGTAACAGATTGAACATTTCTCCATGCACAGTTTCTGATCTTATTTTACAGTAGCATTATTCGGCAGCAGTTAATCCATTCGATGTAAGCGAGGCACTTGGTGTTAATGAGTGAGGACTCCCTGCAAGTCAAGAAACATTATGTTGGTGGCTCTGAAATGTGCAAAGTAACACCCTCTTGTGAAGGCGTATACTTGATGAAAAAAGTTATTTGTATTATTTGTCCTTACATACGGTATTTACATTTCTTCAAGAGAGGGGAAAAATGAAAATTTGTATAGCTGCTGAAGTATATATATTGAACCCTATAGCATGTTATGCTTTCATATTTGGCCAGGGTCTCCCTCTAGCTGGACACTAAACCATTGAATTAAATGTGAGTGCAAAAAAAACAGGTACGTTGCTGTAGCCCCTACGAGATCTTGACCCCTGTTCATTTTGCAGTCCTATTGGAAGAGTTAGTAGATTAGAGAAATGGGGCAAGTAGGAGGCTTACTCTTTCACTCCTCTCTGCCTTATCTCCGTGAGGCTTGGCGTTACCGTCTAACAGATATCAGCATGACACTTATATCAGGTCACAATATATTTAGTTTTGAAGATAAATAAAAAGCCCTTTTGAAATGTGAGAAAGGGATGACCGTAAGACTCTAGAAGGCAAAGGCCAGAGAATTAGACCTTGTCCTTTTTCACTGCACGGTATCCTCACACTTGTTTGCTATGTGCTTTTATGAACAGTCCTTCGCTTGAAAACTTCAGTAAAGGACAGATATATTGGCAAGAATATGACATGTCAAAGTGAGATTTCAGAAATTGCTTTGAGAATGTTCTCCCCTTGTTTGTACTGCCTTGTGGGTGCTACTGTGATATCGTAGTGGAAAATGGAAACCATTTATTGGAAGAATCATTTTTGGATTTGTTACTGTTTATATTTATGGGATGTGGATGTATTTTTGATTTATTCTGTTTGTAAAATGGATTTCTAACTCACTAGCATGTTTGCTTTTACCAATAAAGATGGAGGAATGGGGTGATTGGAAGAGGAACAAAATACAAAATAATTAAAAGAAACAATTTGAATTAGACACAAGTAAAAAAAAAAAACGTAAAAAATGATACAAGAAATAGATTGAAATTTCAACCTCTGTGGGGGAACATTCCAAAAGAATATTACCTTCAAAACCTGTGTCGTCATTCCTTTAGTATTGGCCTGCTAACTTTTCCCCCCATCATCATTCATGATTATCCATAATCATGGTAGTGTCCACATTCATGTAGAAGTGTTGACAAACAAAAGTGACTCCAAAATGAAACAATACATTATTCACTTCCTATTGGAGAAAACATCATCCGAAACACAACCAAAGCAAGCTGTAAATGCATCCAATAAGTTTGTAGAGTTACAAGCTTGATGTAGTCATTGTGTGCAAGAAATATGGTACTAAATACTTACTTTTTACTACTTTAATACACTAAGTGAAATTTGTCCAAATACTTATGACGTCTTCAAATGGGGGGGACTAGATAAATAAAGTGCTTTCATTTCTTAACGGTAAATCAGATTTATGAAGATACCCTCAAATAAAAGGTGACATTCTGTACTGTTACCTCATATGAAACATTTAATCTCAAATCCAAAATGCTGGAGTGTAGAACCAAAAAAGATATACACTGCTCAAAAAAATAAAGGGAACACTTAAACAACACAATGTAACTCCAAGTCAATCACACTTCTGTGAAATCAAACTGTCCACTTAGGAAGCAACACTGATTGACAATACATTTCACATGCTGTTGTGCAAATGGAATAGACAACAGGTGGAAATTATAGGCAATTAGCAAGACACCCCCAATAAAGGAGTGGTTCTGCAGGTGGTGACCACAGACCACTTCTCAGTTCCTATGCTTCCTGGCTGATGTTTTGGTCACTTTTGAATGCTGGCGGTGCGTTCACTCTAGTGGTATTATGAGACAGAGTCTACAACCCACACAAGTGGCTCAGGTAGTGCAGCTCATCCAGGATGGCACATCAATGCAATCTGTGGCAAGAAGGTTTGCTGTGTCTGTCAGCGTAGTGTCCAGAGCATGGAGGCGCTACCAGGAGACAGGCCAGTACATCAGGAGACGTGGAGGAGGCCGTAGGAGGGCAACAACCCAGCAGCAGGACCGCTACCTCCGCCTTTGTGCAAGGAGGAGCAGGAGGAGCACTGCCAGAGTCCTGCAAAATGACCTCCAGCAGGCCATAAATGTGCATGTGTCTGCTCAAACGGTCAGAAACAGACTCCATGAGGGTGGTATGAGGGCCCGACGTCCACAGGTGGGGGTTGTGCTTACAGCCCAACACCGTGCAGGACGTTTGGCATTTGCCAGAGAACACCAAGATTGGCAAATTCGCCACTGGCGCCCTGTGCTCTTCACAGATGAAAGCAGGTTCACACTGAGCACATGTGACAGAGTCTGGAGACGCCGTGGAGAACGTTCTGCTGCCTGCAACATCCTCCAGCATGACCGGTTTGGCGGTGGGTCAGTCATGGTGTGGGGTGGCATTTCTTTGGGGGGCCGCACAGCCCTCCATGTGCTCGCCAGAGGTAGCCTGACTGCCATCAGGTACCGAGATGAGATCCTCAGACCCCTTGTGAGACCATATGCTGGTGCGGTTGGCCCTGGGTTCCTCCTAATGCAAGACAATGCTAGACCTCATGTGGCTGGAGTGTGTCAGCAGTTCTTGCAAGAAGAAGGCATTGATGCTATGGACTGGCCCGCCCGTTCCCCAGACCTGAATCCAATTGAGTACATCTGGGACATCATGTCTCGCTCCATCCACCAACGCCACGTTGCACCACAGACTGTCCAGGAGTTGGCGGATGATTTAGTCCAGGTCTGGGAGGAGATCGCTCAGGAGACCATCCACCACCTCATCAGGAGCATGCCCAGGCGTTGTAGGGAGGTCATACAGGCACGTGGAGGCCACACACACTACTGAGCCTCATTTTGACTTGTTTTAAGGACATTACATCAAAGTTGTATCAGCCTGTAGTGTGGTTTTCCACTTTAATTTTGAGGGTGACTCCAAATCCAGACCTCCATGGGTTGATAAATTTGATTTCCATTGATAATTTTTGTGTGATTTTGTTGTCAGCACATTCAACTATGTAAAGAAAAAAGTATTTAATAAGATTATTTCATTCATTCAGATCTAGGATATGTTATTTTAGTGTTCCCTTTATTTTTTTGAGCAGTGTGTGTGTATATATATATATATATATATATATATATATATATATACAGCTTCATGTCCAAATACATGTGGGGGGGGGGGTGTATCGGCACATAGTTGTATTTTTATGATGATGGGAAAACAGGGTCATTCTCAGGTGGGCTTCTGCCATGGCACCCATCCCACCCACCAAAACAGAATTCCAACACGGAGAGGAACTTAAATTGGCTTCAGTGACTTTGACATATTCAAATGTTGATGAATAATGCATGAACATTCCTTACTTTAGGAAGTGAAGTGAAGTGAAAACACTCAGAGTCTATTTGATTTAATGCAAGCACTGTTGGGTTACCCGTGGGATGAAATGTCAACCACCAACCACAGCCACTCGTCGTCCTCACATCCCCTGTCGCCCAGGCGATGAGCACTCTACATGCACGCGCCACAGAGCCCAAAGTGGAGACAGACCGGGAGAGTAGAGACAGACAACAATTGGATGGTCATTTGGTGGAGGAAACCTTTGGAGCTGTACACGGGCTAGGGAGATGAGTGCTGCTGTCACATCTCGACACAAACAAATCCATAAAACATGTCAGATGCAATCTTCAGAATGGGAATGCACAGATGACAAGCCAACAAACCACCACAATGACCACTGAATTATGCATATTGTTATTAAGAAGTCAAAGAATAAGAGTTCATGTGAGCAAGAGAGAGAAGGACATTATACTTAATTCAGGGTAACATCTTGAATGGAATAATAAATGACATAGTTTGTTTCCCATCTCTGAACATCTTTGTAGCCCAGCTGGGCAATGTTACTATAAAGGGAAGTTTTGAGGAGTCTGACTTCCTATAAAAATATAGGCCTACTGTACAGTATATAAAGATATTCTCTCTCTCTCTCTCTCTCTCTCTCTCTCTCTCTCTCTCTCTCTCTCTCTCTCTCTCTCTCTCTCTCTCTCTCTCTCTCTCTCTCTCACTCACTCACTCAACAGGTCCAGTGGTGAGAAAAGACCTTGCCTGTTTTAATCTATATAATGAATAAGGACATGCCAACGTGGTAATGGATGCCTGCCACCATGCTGCTCAATTATTCACTGTCTGAGGAACTGGAGGAGAGGTGGCCAGGATCAGATGGAAGCGCTGTGTCACTGGCCTACCTGGCTCCTCTTTCTACTGCTGGGAGAGGCATTCAGCCTGCCACACGAGATCTAATGCACTGAGGACAGGTGCTCTGTTCACCTGCATGGGGGACTGAGACCAGAGCAAGGCCCTGCCCTGGCCTGCTCCAATTCAATTCAGCCAACATTGCTGTTGTGTGTACTGTAGGTGTCTTATCTACAAGATCCTGTAATCAGATTTGGCCAATGTAGATAATATTGAACTGACACTATCCCAATGCAATGATGGGAAGGATTAATACCAGGAATACCTGTAAATAACAAGTGTGTGTTCTTTCGGATGGGCAGCATTACATGTATCACTATTTTGGTCAGTCCAGATTAAACTAACATACTTCTGGCTTTAGCATGTCGCTATCTGGGGCATATGAGCCCATAAGAAGGCAGCAATTTTAGAATGAAGATCATATTGTTTGATTACTAATAATTTAACTAATAATTTAAATGTTTTGTTATTTCCCAGTCATTGCTCGAGAGATAGCCTTGGGATTAATAAATAAACCAAATCATATTTTGAAGAGAAATCCTATTATAGATTGCTCTTTCGTTTTTGAAAAAGTATGAAGTACGCTAGTTCTTTATACATTTTTTAATCAATGTAGGCCTATAACGTTACATAATGTAGATCATTTTTTAAGGAATGTTCTTTTTTAATGTGAGCAAGTATTTATTTATTTATGTTATTTATGTGGTCCTCTGTAGCTCAGCTGGTAGAGCACGGCGCTTGTAACGTCAAGGTAGTGTGTTCGATCCCCGGGACCACCCATACACAAAAAATGTATGCACGCATGACTGTAAGTCGCTTTGGATAAAAGCGTCTGCTAAATGGCATATTACATTATTATTATGTTTATTTTTGACCTACCTTTGTTTGTTTTTGACCTCTTGAAAAAGGTTTGTACATAAATCAAGAGTTGTTTCATATTCTAAGCACACATTGACTGGATTGAAGGGAATAAGTCTATTTATGTATTCCATCTACACATTTTATAATAATAATAAATAATAATAACATTTTATAATTTAATTAATGGTATAGAACTTGTGTGGTATTAGATTTCACGTCTGCTATTAATTTGCCACACCCTCTGATTGTTGAAGACTGTCTGAGGCACCGTTCCTTCATTTAACTGTGTGGGCGTCACCTGTCGCCTCGAGACGCCAATACTGGCGCTGTCCATGCTGCTGAAGCTAAACACGCTGCTGTTTTACCCTTGATGAGAAGAAACTGCTAAGAAACATGACATATTAATTAAAATAGACTGCACACATTCTCTGTGTTCATTATATTACGCCTGGAACCTCAAGTTAACGCAGCAGAAATATATAGGCCTTGAGTAGTTTATTGGGAATATGAACAAACTTTCAAACAGTTGTATTTATAATCCATTATCACATGTTATGTATGGCTGATAATGAGGCTTATAGGCCCATTGCTTTTAGTTTCATGGGCAATGTAATCGCGTTCACGTTCAACCGTGCATCACGCTTGCGCACAGCACCCAGCCCATTCCAATGACTTGTAACTTGTAAGTTGAGTAAAGGAGCAGGTGGGGTGAGAGAGAGGCAGAACGGGAGGCGCTGCCAATGGAAATAGCTCACTAACAGCAACGAGCCAGAGAACCGAGCCTGCCTCTATGTCAGGGCCACTTACCTGCAAGGTGCGCAACGAAGATGATGACCATGAACGGCAAGCAGCATTTCTCTATGCACCCGGTGCTGCAGGAGCCCAAATACTCTGGCCTGCAAGCGAGTTCGGAAGGCATGCGCAGAGTTTGTCTGCCTGCCCCGCAGGTATGTTTCTCAGTCAATTATTTGAGGCACAACTGTATGAACAAATATCAATTTAAAACGTTTTAAGTGGTTCAGAAAGGACTTTGTTTTATCCACTCTCATACTCGTTATTTCTCTCTCTCTCTCTCCCTCACAACCCCTCCCTCCCCCTCCCTCTCGTTCTCTCTCATCCACATGTCTATTCAAGCAAAGCTGCTGCTTTCATATTAATGTTTATGACCTGTGCTTTGAGGAGGGTTCTCCCTGTGCTTAACATTTATTTGAATCCTGAGTTGACAGAATTCCCTACTGATTCCAATATGCGCACTCTTGCTTCCAGCTCCAGGGCAATATCTTCGGTGGCTTTGATGAGAGTCTACTGGCACGCGCGGAAGCTCTGGCGGCTGCTGACATAGTCTCTCACGGCAAGAGTCACCATTTCAAGCCAGACGTGACTTACCATACCATGAGTAGTGTCCCCTGCACCTCCAACTCCTCTACCGTGCCCATCTCCCATCCTTCCACCCTGACCTCTCACCAACACCACCACCACCTCAACCAGAGCTTGGAAGGGGATCTCCTGGATCACATCTCGTCCAGTCTCTCAGTGAGCGGGATGGGGGCTCCGGATTCCTCTATGATGACCACGCACCAGCACCACCTCCAGACCATGGGTCACCTCCACCAGGCTATGGCCATGGGTCATCCGCACTCTCTATCTGTGCACAACGGAATGTCGTGTGTCAACGACGTGGAGTCGGATCCTAGGGAGCTGGAAGCCTTCGCTGAGCGGTTCAAACAAAGGAGGATAAAGCTCGGAGTGACCCAGGCGGACGTTGGCTCAGCCCTCGCCAACCTGAAGATACCCGGGGTGGGCTCTCTCAGCCAGAGTACTATCTGTAGGTTTGAGTCCCTCACCCTCTCTCACAATAATATGATTGCTCTAAAACCTGTCCTCCAAGCCTGGCTCGAGGAGGCCGAGGCTGCTTACCGGGAGAAAAACAGCAAGCCAGACCTTTTTAATGGCAACGAAAGGAAACGAAAACGCACTTCGATAGCCGCACCTGAGAAGCGCTCGTTGGAGGCATATTTTGCGATCCAGCCCCGTCCCTCTTCGGAAAAAATTGCTGCAATTGCTGAAAAACTGGACCTTAAAAAGAACGTGGTTCGTGTGTGGTTTTGCAACCAACGGCAAAAACAGAAAAGGATGAAATATTCTGCTGTGCATTAGTTAACATTATGCATAAAATACGACATTTTGAAGAGATAACAGGGATCTATCAACATCTTATCATGTCCGATTGGAATTTACAACGGAGACTATAGATTTATTTAAATTAAATTATTTTGTCTCGTTCACTTTTTTGGTCCTCTAACGTTGTTGTTGTTGTAGATTGGAATGAAACGTGTCGTGCTAAAGGTCTCTTGGATTAAGTTTTCGTTGTTGTTGCTTTTACTTGACTGCATATCACAACTCTCTTCGATCACAGAACTATAACAAATAGGCCTATAGAAAATTACCTATCTCTATCATGTGAGATGTCCTGTTGAATGCTCCTAAATCCGATTAGTTGTTTGGACAATTTCATCAATTACACCAACATGTTCACGTTTATGTGTCGGACTGTTTGGATTCATATTTGTATATGATGGAATTAATGGGTGTTCACTGTAAAGGTGTAACACACCCCTTAAAAAACATATTGCAAATGAATGTGCTGTCTTTGTGAACTAGCTGAACTTCGTTAAAAAAATAATTCACAGTTATGTGCAAAATAGGAAAATCACATTTCACAATATTGATGACACAACACGAGTTGATTTTCTTTAATAATTTACAAAATGTCACTATTTTAACTAAGGTACGTCAGACAGGCATGGGAAGGCTGCTATATTTTGACGTTATGTATTTTGATGTGAACATGTAAAACAGTTTTGAGTATCACTGAAATACTATGAGTATTTTTCTTCACTCTTGGATTTCACTTGACAAAATGTGTGAAGTTGAAACTTAATGAATAAATAATTGAATATTTTCTAAAATTCCATTGAATCAGCAATTGATTATTTTGATTACATTTTACATGCTTAATTTGTGTTTTTGTCAATTGTAGACAATTAGACCTAGCATTATCACTTAATTTAAAGACAGGAAGAAAAAGTTTCCCTAGGCTTAACGTAATTTTGCCATTTGTGTGAGGCTATGATAGTTAAATACAATATATCTTCCGTTTCTGGGGTTGGAGTAAGGGAATATTGATTCAGGGTTTGTTCTTCCATAGTATTTGAATAAATCTCAAGATACAGATGGGTGATTAAATGATTGTAAAACCATGAGTTTCACAGAAAACTTAACGAGTTGTATTTATGAATTCCTAATGCTCTGCTGCGATTAAAAATGAATTATATAGCACATACATATAGAAAAAATTGTGTTTCAGTGCTGAATTTATCAACCAAAATCAAACACCATGCAACAAACAATAAGAGACACATAATTTATGTATTCCTTTTTTTTTGACGCATTGTTACAAGGACCTTGGTCCTAATTAGATCGTTTTTTAATAATGAATGCCCGTATGTTACCGGGGTATATCGTTGAGTTTGAAATGATTAAGTAATGATGATGCAATATTAATTATATATTGGTATAAAATGAGGATTGTTGCTGTGCGGAGGGGTGAGAGTGTGGGAGCTCGTGACTCGAGGGATAGAGGCTTGCAACGCTCACAATTTCAGGTAAGGATTTGAAGACTTCAATTTATCTTTTAAACCCGTGCGAAAATAACTGATTTTTTTTTCTCACCCTTTTTACCCATGTGTACTGTGTAGGTGTTTTACCCCGTCATTTTAAATGTGTGATTATCTAACTTACTATTAAGGCTATAGCTATGTTTTTTCTCCAGACAGTTGGAAGTTTTTAAATCTTTATATAAGGGAGTTTTTGGACTCAAATTAATTCTGTTATTATACAAATAAAAATACAACAATAGGATTTTGAAATAGTATGTCAAACTGTTATTGTTATTTAAACTAATAATAACACCAACTGACTTCATTATAATTGTCTTCATTCTCATCCTGATAAGTACCGTTGTATGAGTTATTTAGTATGGGACACTTTTTCTGTAAAAGTGGAATAGCAGGTCTATTGGCTTTAAATAAAATATTTTTTTGTTCGATTTGTGTAAGTTCGATGCATGTATTAAGGGGAAGTGAAAACAAAAACAAAATATTGTTGATGAAAATAGAAAACAATATACTGTAGGGTGAATTAGGAATAAATGGGACACCTTGCATTTCTGTCTTCGGTAACTTCTTTCGACATCTATCCAACATGATACATTTCTGAAATCCTCAAGAAGTGTCCTAATCACACACAATATTTATTTCTATTTTTAAATATCATATTCACAGGAGGCATGACACACCCATGTGTGTACACTGAATCAAAACCATATTTCCAGTTCGCATTTGGTAGATTGGGGTACAATTAGGACTATAATAATGGTGTCCCAGTTTAACCTGCTGTCCCAAGCTATAACCTGCTGTCCCAAGCTATAACCTGCTGTCCCAAGCTATAACCTGCTGTCCCAATGACAATTAAATTCAATTAAATTTTGTGTGATTTAGAAACATGTCACACTTTTCCTGAATTCACTCAGATAACAGTACCAATAACAGTACCAATAACAGTACTAATAATAGTACTAATAACAGTACCAATAACAGTACCAATAACAGTATCAATAACAGTACCAATAACAGTACCAATAACAGTACTAATAACAGTACTAATAATAGTACTAATAACAGTACCAATAACAGTACCAATAACAGTACTAATAATAGTACTAATAACAGTACCAATAACAGTACAAATAACAGTACTAATAATAGTACTAATAATAGTACTAATAACAGTACCAATAACAGTACTAATAATAGTACTAATAACAGTACCAATAACAGTACCAATAACAGTACTAATAATAGTACTAATAACAGTACCAATAACAGTACTAATAACAGTACTAATAATAGTACTAATAATAGTACTAATAACAGTACCAATAACAGTACTAATAACAGTACTAATAACAGTACCAATAACAGTACTAATAATAATACTAATAACAGTACCAATAACAGTACACCAAGAAACAATTAACAGGATATAGTACTACAAGAACCACAGCCCTGCCTAAACTAAGTACAGGGGGTCCCTAATGTAAACTGGATCTCTTTCCTCCATTGGAAATGCCTATAAGACTGTCCCACTTTAGCTACTCCATGCTGTCCCACATTAGCTACTTCATGCTGTCCTACTTTAGCTACTTCATGCTGTCCTACTTTAGCTACTTCATGCTGTCCTACTTTAGCTACTTCATGCTGTCCTACTTTAGCTACTCCATGCTGTCCCACATTAGCTACTTCATGCTGTCCTACTTTAGCTACTTCATGCTGTCCTACTTTAGCTACTTCATGCTGTCCTACTTTAGCTACTCCATGCTGTCCTACTTTAGCTACTTCATGCTGTCCTACTTTAGCTACTTCATGCTGTCCTACTTTAGCTACTCCATGCTGTCCTACTTTAGCTACTTCATGCTGTCCTACTTTAGCTACTTCATGCTGTCCTACTTTAGCTACTTCATGCTGTCCTACTTTAGCTACTCCATGCTGTCCTACTTTATCTAGCTATAGTTGGTAAAGCGGGACAACAACAAAAAAATGACTTCATTACAACATTTAAACAACATTTAAACAACATTGCCAACTTGTTTATGTATTTTGATGCACCAGTACATAGTGTGCACATTTACATCACAATTTGGCACAGTAAATTATTTATTACAGTTTTATAACCTTAACAACAAAACAGAAAAAAAAGATATGTCACTGATCTTACCGTGTGCTTTGCGGGGTGAGCTTCCTGTTTGAAGCTCTGCCCCCTCTATGATGTCACACAAATGAGCTGATGTGATTTTGATTATGTGGTTTCTCTGCAAGGACTTAGTAACAATAGTTTAGATTTTCTCTTGTCAGACCAGGAAATAAACACTTCAGGATTAAGCTGTCCCAGTTTCCGAATTCATCCTATGTTATATGTCAATGTAACCTGAGGTTATATGCTATTTTCCCAAGTGTGATTCAGGCTCTCTCCTGGATATTTTAGCCAGAGGATCAATATTTTGCAATTGAAAAGAAAATCTGTTGCTTTTTAATATTCTCTTTGATCTTGAGATATAATTAATTGCTTAGGCAATGTGTAATTTATGTAGATAAAGAGGAATTTGAAAGAGGGGCAAAAGCAATGCAAATATATAATTGTCTACTTGCTCAGTATGATAACCTAATGGATACAAATCTCTCTATTTTTCTGTCTTGGGATCATGTGGCTACTATAGAGAGTTTTAAATCAGGTTAAAGGCCCAGTGTAGCCGCTTTTTATCTCAATATCAAATCAATTCTAGGTAACAATTAAGTACCTTAGTGTTATTTATTTTATTTTATTAAAATGGTCAAAAAGAAACAAAAATAGCTTCTTAGCAAAGAGCAATTTCTCAAGCAAGAATTTAGCTAGGAGTGTCTGGGAGTGGTCTGAGTGAGGGGCCTAATTGGATGAGGCTAATAGGAGGGATCTGTAACCTAAAAACTAGCTGTTATTGGCAGAGAGGTTTGAAACTCTCTTTGTTATTGGTCTATTAACTTATACCACCTGGTGTTGTCACCAGGCAAGCCAAAATAGGCTGAAATTGCAGGCAATCTTTTCAAACAGCTCTTACACTAAAAGGGCATTATCATCCTTTTCACAATTTCACAGTATTATTCCAACCTCATAGTGAGGAAATATATATAAAACACAGGAAAATCACGTTTTGACAGCACTGGACCTTTAAATAAGATTCACCAAAAAGTGAAATGCTCATATTATTCAATTCAACTGTTTTGTTAGCGTTGTTTGCCTGTGTTTCTGTTGACGTTTTACAAACTTTAGACTAGAGCATTTTCTGAATGTATTTTATCTCCCCAACACTGATTGAAGTTGTTTGGACAATTTGGCCATATTAATGTTAAATAAATTACTTGGAGATGAGGGTTAAATCTTTTTTGGCCAGGAAGCAGTGTGTAAATTATTGATTGCTGTAATAGCCCTATTGATATCATGATTCATAACCCTCTTGCTATGAGGTAAGTTGAGCTGAAGGTTAGTGCAGACAAGGAGCATGT